GTAGAGATAAATTAAATACAGATGTTAAACTTGGATATCTTCGTCTGTTTTCTCTATCAAACTTTGAACACGTCAGTCAAATCTTTTTTGACAACAAGTGCGGCCATTTTTGAAGATCTTTCGTACTCGCAATGTTGCCTCTGTGAACAGGCATGCTCGCTTGTGTATAGATCTCTGGTACATCACAAAACTTATCAGAGTCCAGACCAGCTACTTCTATATCAGACAACAGGTAGCTGTCCACCAACTTCTCTTGCCCCATTGTTCGAAGAAGAATTCCCATCTTCCTTCCTGTAAGATTAAGCCTATTCATGAGTCTCTCGGTACAAAACGTAGCAGTACTACCGGGGTCTAAAAACGCATATGTTAGCAGGGTCTCATGTCCTCGCTTGGACTTCACTCGAACAGGCAGGATTGACAACGCACAGTCCTGCTTGCCGGCCCCTGTTAAACCACTAGATTGAACAGCCACTAGCCCTGTTTGTTTCGGGCGGCACGGTGGCTGAGTGGATAGCACTCTCGCCTCTCAGCAAGAAGGTCCTGGGTTCGAATCCCGGCCGGACCAGGGCCTTTCTGAGTGGAGTTTACATGTTCTCCCCGAGTCTGCGTAGGTTTCCTCCGGGTACTCCGGTTTCCCCTACCACTAAAAACATGCACAATAGGTCTGGCATGCGCCTCCTGTTCGGCGACCCCGCTCCCATCTCTGTGTGGAGTGAGAGGACAAGTGCCCAAAAAATAACAATTGTAAACCGCTTTGTGACTCTGGTCTGTGAAAGGCGGTATATAAATAAAGCTTACTTACTTACTTACTTACTTACTTTGTGCCAATACGAGCCTGTGAAGAACTACTTTTGGAGTGGAAATGCAATAACGTAGCGTGCTTAAGATTGCAAACTCTGCATGACAGACGTTTCCTACAATCTTTACTCCTGTGCCCAATGCACAGACAACCAAAGCACAAATTGTTTTCCTTCAAAAAAGACAACTTCTCTTCTCGTGTCTTCTTATCCAATAGAAGGCAAACATCCAAAGCATGACCAGCCCCACAAAACAAACACACGTTCAAAGTAAAGTTCTTCTCTCCCTTATGGACAGGCGCAACCCTATTCTCTACAGGTGCTATTGTAGTGGCAAAACTACCTTTAGGTTTTGTACCCGACTTAACATATTTAAAATCCTTTCTTACAGGTCCTGGAGAGTCCTGAATGTCTCCAAACAAAGGGTCACCTATCTTAACTTGCTTCTCAACAAAATACACGACATCATGAAAATTGGCTCTGCGATTAAACCGTTCTTGCAGATCACAAGCCGCATCTCTCCAACGGTCCCTAAGCTTATAGGGCAGCTTCTTTACAATAGTCTGCATGTTGGTGGGAACATTCAAATCACCCGAACAATCACCCATGGAATTGCAGCATTCACGCAGCAACAAACTGTAGGCCTGAAGCCCTTTAAGGGGTTCGCCTTTCACTATGGGCCATGAAAGGACCTTGCCCATGTATGCAGATGCTACCTTAAAAGAATCTCCAAAATGCTCTTTAAGTAAAGCCTTTGCTTGCATGTAACCATGTGCAGGAGGTAGATATAGGCAACATCCCTCGGCTGACCTCTAGTGTACTGCTCAAGGTAATACAAACAATCTCTCTGACTTTGAGTTCTAGCTTCTATGTTATGTTCGAAGGCTCTAATGAACGTCTGATATTGCAGTGGATCTCCATCAAACACATGCACATCTCGTTTAGGCAAAAGAAACATTGAGTGTTGTTCAACCAATAGTGATGTAATTTCATTCTGTTTTTCCAAAACTGTAAGAAAACGTTTATCCGAGGCATTCTCTGTCATCTGTGGCGGGGGTTCAGAATAAGACTGCGGAGCAGCCTGACACGCCGCACCACTAGATGGGATCATAACTGGTAAACCGGCCCCAATGACGACAGAGTTCCGGTTAATACTCTTAGACCTTACTGCAACACTGATAGATGGAGCATTCCATGTGTTAACGACAGGCACAAATGAACTAGCTTTTGCATTTAAACTAACGGCCTTGGGTTCTCCCATACAAGATCTTTTCCCATCAGATTTAGCAGACACATGAGATCCTTCTGAGGCCTTTAATACATTTACTTTGGCCATGGACGCAGCCAGCTCCATGTCTAAGTCAAGGGCCTCTTTCTTTCTCCTCAATAAATCCTGCTGCTCCTCCATTTTCCTTCGCAGCTCGTCCTGCTGTGCTTCTATAACATGTCTCTCTTTGAGAAGTTTCTGACGGGCCATAAGAGCTGCTGTCTCTGCCTCTGCTTGTAACCTGGCAGAGGAAGTGGTCGACACAGACCTGCTCACTACTGTACTACGCCTCTTAGATTTATTGGAAGTGTTTGAAACACTGTCACTCGGTTCCACAGTCTCAACTACATTATTTACACGTGTCATCTCATTTGTAATACTGCCACTTAAAACAGCAGTTTCCACAGTGAGAGCTCGAAACACAACAGCGCCCTCTGCAGGAAACACATCGACAACACCAGGCAACTCCAACAACCACTTATTAGTTTCTTCCGCAAAACTGGTTTTAAGCTCCGTGACACTTTCAAACCATTAATTTTGCCTTTTTTGTTCCTCTGGTGGAAGCATAGGAATCACATTATCATGCAGCTGACAGGCCTCACTGTACAAACCGGACACAGTTTCCAGACAAGAACGCACCATTTCCACATTTTCAACATTTTTCTTTAACTCAGATATGTCTCTCATTGTAGTCTTCATTCTTTTGACTTTGGCTTTTCTCTCATCCTGAAGCCTTTCCAGCTTCCGTTCAAAAGCCTTTTCCGTAAGCTTTATTGGCCTCTTAGCGGATTCATTTGACTCCATTGTTCATTCACACAAAAAAATCCAATATCCAGGAAAAAACTCCAAAATTACAGACAGTGGCTTTAATTTTCCAAAACACTTGAACAATGTACTGCAAGCGGTCTTCTCATTCCCCCTAATCTCTCAGTTGGCACTAAACTAGACTCAACCCTAGTCTTCTGTGCGTACTAGCGATGGGGTCTTATGTACCTCGGATATACCGATAGACTGACGCTGAGCAGAGCCCAGATCAGATCTACGGCGGTACTCCCAAGCAAATGCTTTACCCGCTTGACGCACGAGCGACCCTACAAAACAACAAAATAGCGCTCCACCTTGTGTGAAACGCCACTGAGCCTAACCGGGGAATATAACAGTCAATGCGAACCAAACACTTGCAGTACCTCACGAAGCAACTGTGTTAATCCATTACGAACAAGTTTGTGAATGAATGAGACATCTCCAATGCGCGTTCACGTCTATTATTCCGAACTTTCAACGCGATCCAAAAAGCGTTAAAAAAGGGTTACATGACAATACGATGAATCCTCGCATGAAAACAGTTTCTGTTGACAAAATATTGCGGCGTAAAATTTCCAAACTGAGGCAATACGCCGCGGCAGGCTAAGACACGGGCTATGTTGCTGACGCGTAGATTAATTCGTATGCAGATGTTTACTTGATGTTTCGTGGAGTTGACTCAGTTGCCCTTCTGGATGTACAGAATGTTGCTTACGGTCAACAGAAAGTAGCGGCCCGTGCTCACCCTGCCATGATGCCTATCCCACAGGTGTGCACATGCCCCTCTTAAGCCCAACACAGGTGCAGCTGTAGTGGAAATTTAAATACTTCAATGAATGAATCCGAGGGAAAACAGCTTGTCTTTGTGCAATTTATTTAAAAGGTGATGATAATAAACAAACACAATAAAACTCTGCAGAGTGAGACAGAAGCGACGCATACTCCAAGCCTGCGTCGTCTCTCTCCCGTCTGCTCACATCTACATTTGATAATATAGTCCTGCGAAAAGCTAGAACAAAGAACAATGGGTTGAGTTATGCAGAAGAGGAGATAAGAGATAGGGAGGGGAAAAGATTGTAGTGCACCTGCCATAACATTTTAACATTATAACGAGCAAGAGGATGATTCCGTCGCCTCCGCGAAGGTCATGTGAAAGTGTCCTTTGTGCAGGACAAGCGGCCTTTGTCTAAATGTATCAGTGAATTTAGTACAATATATTCTGATATATGAAACTCGCCACAACACAGCCTAATTGAGAGACGCCACTCTAAACTGCCACCCAGTGGACAAACTAGGACAGTGCGTGAGCCCTCAGCCGTCCAGATACTAAGACAGAAAAAGCTAATATGTGGTTCCTACAGTTCCTCTTCAATCCTGGGCAGATTCAGTTATTTTGTTTTTCTATACCACATACAATAAAAGTAAGGCTGTAGGATGTCGTCGAAACATTTTAAGGAATAACTATGTTGCTATCTTACATTTTAATTCAATTCAAATAATTATAGACCTAAATCACAGCAGTAATCATCTCGGAGGACTTTACAATGTTGTGTATTCCTAGACAACATATCTCAGAATAAAACAGTACAAACACAGGTAAGTCAATAATAACAAACGCATAGCAGCCATTGGTCCATAGGGGGTGGAATGCCCATGTTCATAAATGCTACAAAATGTCCATAAATGTCCTTAAATGTCCCGGATTATCACTGTCCTTAGAACCTCCTGCATCGGCAAGGAACAATTATGTCTGGTTTAGAAGAACCAAATGACTCAAGGTTGCATTCATATTCAAAATTCAAGTTCAGTTGGAGGACCGGTGCCATTATAACACTAGCAACTTGGTCTTATTATTTTCTCACAAAAAGTGGTGACAACATAAAAAACACATTAGAAAAGACCTAGATATAAGATTGGATTGGCCCAGGAATGACAGAGAAAGTCGCTCTAAACTGTGACTAGAAATCTGACTTTTTACAATTGCCAGAGTTACCCAGAAACTGCCCTCCACCATAAAATTAAACTATGGCCTCTTTAGAATGTTGTGACGTCCAATATTCCAATGTCCTCCTTGCTTTATTCATTTTGATGGGGTACTTCTGTTCTGTCCGTGGGTTTAGCATTTCCCCGCCATGCTAACACTCTGTCTATGGGCAAGAGACTTTATTCAAGTCACTATACACGGCTGAGTGCGCCTTCCTGTAATCCAAATTTAAATAATGAAAGCAAAATCTCATGTGACTGGATGTATTTCCTGGTCCAGGTGCCACATACTTGGAGGAGTGTCCTAAGGAGCCTTACATCCCCATCTACCTGGTGGTGATGGGGGCGGTGATACTGGAGACGTTTGGCCTGATAGTGATCCTGCTTATCTGTCTGCCCTCTGCCAAACCCCAAAACCCCCGAAGACGAGACCACCTACCCCTTCCGCCGCGGCCCCTTCTACGCCTGGATCTCCCTCACCTACTCCTTTGTCTTCTGCTGGTTCATTGCTGGTGAGTGTGTCCCCCTAGCACCCGTTGATAAAGTTTGTTATAATGATTGTTTCTCTCTTTTCCTAGTTAGAGTGTAGTCAGAGTTATACGTTATACATTTAAAGAGCAATGTTTAACACCTGTAAACACCCACAAGTCAATGATGTTGGACACATATCGGCAAAAGCAAACTACGGTACAACTCGCTAAAATAATTTGTTGTGCTGACTTACAGTACCAGCAAAAAGTACTGTGGCAATATTTGAAGAAACATATCATACAAAATCAACTTTATTTTAGTTTTTACCGTGTCTCAACATTGTTTCCTCAGTCACAGATTTTGAGTTATTTTTAGATCCATCCATACTAATATTAGAAACTTCCAACACAAACGTGTAACTCCGCCCCCTCTGTCTAATGTTGCTTTCACACCGGATGATGTGTTGCGTCGACTTTCAATGCAAAGTCAATGGCGACGTGCGTTCGAGCGTTGAACTCCGTAGAGACGCACGGACTGCGCGGCAAAGGCGCGGCAGAGGAGCTGGAGCGGAAAATCGACGTACACAGGAGTAGATAGTATTGACACCAGTATTGAGCAAGTGGTGAAAAGGTGGTACTGCACCCTGAACTCCTCAGAATAGGGTCGGCGCTATTGAGCAAGTGGTGAAAGGTGTTACTGCACTGTATTTTCTTTTTATTTTTTTTCAAAGAGGTGTCACTTTTGAATGTTTAATGAGTTGCCTTCTGTTGACCCCTGTGTGTAAGTGTGCTTCACAGTTGTCTAAAGTGATTTATTGAGCAGCGCTTAGCGTAACACCTGCGTAGGGTTACACCGTGCTCATTCTAAAAACAAACAGTGATGCCCTAGTTAGGAAGACACGTCAATACCTAATCAAACAGCATGGGAGGACCAGCCCCAGACCTGTCAACCTATAGCAAACATGATGAAGGGGTGGGAGGACTATGGTGAGCCCCGCCCTCTAAGAAGTTTTCAATGGATCAAACGCATTACGTTTGTCTATGTGAAGGTTATACAATATGTCGAATACAATCAATCAATCAACGTTTATTTATAGAGCGCCTTTCCTACACAAGGCAACGCAAAGCGCCTCACAACCCATATAACATCATGCATAAATCATCAAACATTAGAATTTAAGTAAACATAAAAAGACAGATTAAGAGCACAAGATATATAAAATCACACAAGTAGTTAAAAACCGTAAAAAATTAAAATCACACAAGGGATTACAATCATAAATAATCATAAATAATCATAGCGCATTAAAAAGATTAAAGATAAAAACAAATGTAAAATCATTCACTTGTATGCACAGCTAAAAAGAACTGTTTTCAGTTCAGTTTTAAAAACTGCCAGAGTAGACGCCTGTCTCACACTCTCGGGAAGACGGTTCCAGACTCTAGCTGCATGAATCTGAAACGCAGCCTCCCCATGTCTAGTTCCGACTCTTGGCACTAACAGAAGTCCAGTCCCTGTGCTCCTCAGAGCCCGAGTTGGTTCATATGGCACCAACATGTCGCGGATGTACCCTGGTGCGAGGCCATGGAGAGACTTGTACACAAGTAAAGCTACTTTAAAATCTATTCTCTGAGCCACAGGAAGCCAGTGCAGAGACCTGAGGACCGGACTAATGTGGTCGTACTTCCTGGTTCTAGTCAGGACTCGAGCTGCAGCATTTTGGATGTACTGCAGCTGTTTTACCGCTTGTTTAGAGAGACCTGTGAACAAGCCATTGCAGTAGTCCAATCGACTGGAGACAAATGCGTGGATAAGAATCTCCAAGTCTGCTTTAGACACAATGTTTTTAATTTTAGCAATGTTTCTTAGGTGGAAGTAAGCTGATGATGTCACAGATGATATGTGGCTATTGAAATTCAAGTCTGAGTCCATTATTACTCCTAGATTTCTGACCTGAGTTGAGGGTTTCAGGGAGAGAGACTGGAGGTGGCAGATAACGCTCTCTCTTTGTTTCTGAGGTCCGAAAACAATAATTTCAGTTTTTTCTGTGTTTAGCTGGAGAAAGTTATTTTGCATCCAATCACTGATCTGTTGGATACAGTGAAGGAGCGAGTCCACTGGTCCATGTTCTCCTGCTGTCAGGGACACATAGACCTGAGTATCGTCAGCGTAATTGTGATAGGACACGTTATTACTGTGTATTAACCTACCCAGAGGCAGCATGTAAATATTAAACAGGAGAGGCCCCAGGATTGAGCCCTGTGGCACTCCGCAGGTCAGGGCCAGATGGTCTGAGACACAGTTTCCGATCTCCACAAAATACTTTCTGTCCTGTAGGTAGGATATAAACCAGCTTAGGGCTGTTCCAGAAACACCAACCCAGTCCTCAAGTCTCTGAGTGAGGATACCATGATCGACAGTGTCGAAAGCAGCACTCAAATCTAACAGGATAAGAACTGAGACTTTTCCTGCGTCAGTGTTAAGTCTGATGTCATTTGTTACCTTCACTAGAGCGGTCTCTGTGCTGTGGTGGGGTCTAAAACCAGACTGGAACATATCAAAAGAGTGATTGATTATTAAAAATTCTGTAAGTTGTTGATAGACAACTTTTTCTAGAATTTTACCCATGAAAGGCAGATTTGAAATGGGCCGATAACTTTTAAGTGCCAAGGCATCCAGACTCCTCTTTTTTAGGAGGGGTCTGATGACTGCCGTTTTCAGGGCCATTGGGAATGTTCCAGATTCAAGAGACATATTTACTATATGCGTGAGTGAAGGTAAAAGACTGCTCAGAACAGATTTAAGAAATCTAGGAGGTAATACATCCAGGCTACATGTAGAAGAACTCAGACTTGTAATTATCATTTGGACAGTTTCATTTTGTACTGGTGCAAAGTGTGTCAGCCCAAAAAGCTTCACTGGGTGTTGGATTGTAATTTCTACTGTGGAGGTGATGGCATTTTTGATGCCTTGGACTTTGTCATTAAAAAACTCTGCAAACTCATTACATTTGGTTTTGGAGGTAAGCTCTGATGGCATCTTAACAGGGGGATTTGTCAATTTATTTACCGTTGAGAACAGAACGCGTAGATTGCCACTACAACCTTCGATTGTTTCGGAAAAATAAGTTTCCCTCGTTCTACGTAGCACACTGTTGAACTTGCACAATGCATCTTTGAAGATCTCATGGTCAACTTGGAGATTTGACTTTCGCCACTTCCGCTCGGCTCTCCGGCACTCTCTCTTCTGTGCCCTGACAGAGTCTGCTTTTGTCCATGGCGCCTTTTGCTTATTTGTAACAATTTTGACCTTTACAGGAGCAATCGTGTCCAGAACCATCCAAAACACTAGAGGTGACAGAGTTAAGTAATTCATCCACAGTAGAACACAACGTGTTATCAAAGTTTATCATCCCCATGAAAAGTTCACCTGTATTTTTGTTTATGTGTCTTCTTCTTCTAACAATTGAGGATTCAGCTCGTGCTTTACTATTGAGACACATATCAAAAAATACACAGAAATGATCTGACAGAGCAACATTGGCCACATTTACATTTGAGATATTAACCCCTTTAGTAATTAGCAGATCGAGAGTGTGTCCTCTGCTATGGGTGGGGCCACTCACATGTTGAGTGAGACCAAAGGTTTCCAGCACAGAGCTCAGCTCTTTCGCGCATCTATCATTAACGTTATCTACATGTATATTAAAATCACCTATGACGACTAAACTATCAAAGTCTGTGCACACAACTGAAAGCAACTCGGTGAAATGATCAGTGAAACTATGACATGACTGTGGCGGCTTGTACACAGGAGATAAATATTGGTGAGCGTTTCCTCGGGATGCTCGTGCAGCGACCAATCAGAGAGCCGCAAAGTGGTCACGGGGACATTAGTGGTTCTGAACGAGCAGACTGAACATACTGTAAACAGCCAAAACAGGAGCTACACCAGGACTAAACCAGGGTTGACAATGGGGGACAATGTGTTTGTGAACGTTGCATTTTCATGCTCCTGTGACTTTATGCAATTGCTTCGCCAATGCGGAAGTACCGTTTAATAATAAGTATGGTGCACCTCCGTGAACACATACTGCTGTTATATAAAGTCTCTGGAAGGTTGCTAGCTTAGCTTAACTACGTTAGCACCAAAGTCCGCCCGCTACTTCCCCCACTTCCGGCGGTCGCCACCGCTGGCCTTCTGGTGTGAAGACCCCTACATCTGAAAATTAGAGAATGTGTGTCTGGTGCGCGAGGCGTCAGCGTTCCAGCTAGGGTTGCCAACTTAAGAACAAAGAAAATAAGGGACACCATTTGGGTGGATTGGGTTGAGAGTCCTTATTTCAATCTACACAGTAATCATGGAATTTCCTAATCACTTTTTAGAATATAATTTATTGACTACATATAAAAAATAAAAAAAATCCTTAGTCAAAAGTGAAATTGAATAAATAGGTGGAACTGTTTGGCTGGTTAAGGACTCAATGCATTCATATTAGTAATAAAAGATATAAAAAAGCCAAAATGCTGTAACATACATTATTTATGTATGTTGCAGTAAAGACCATTTACTGCAAAAGCAAATAAAAAAGAAAAAATAATGTATTCATCAAAAGAAAAAAACTCACTAATGTTGGAATCAAAGTCTGTAGCAGTTAGACATGGTCATTATTTGTATTGTCTGAGAGTTTAGTGCGTGTACATGGCCTCACGTAAAAGCTATTGTTCGTTTACAAAGCTGATATTGACATTTGTTGACGGTCCCTAAGCGCTTTTCTCGGCGCTTGCAGTGCATTGGATTCAATTGATTTCTCTGCATTAAAACAGAGCATTGGATTTGAAAAATCAAAGTAGAGATGATCATTTTAGCACAATTACTTTTGTTTAACAGCGTAAAGTCAAAGTGTTATGAAATCTCACAGACGCTTAAACTGTGATTACTGTGTGTGTGTGTGACATGCAGTGAGTGAGTGATGCATTTAAGGTGGCTCTGAAAATACGGGACAAAAGCCGTCCCGTATCCATTCAATATTCCTATAACACGGTACAATTCTGTATTTAAGGGACGGTTGGCAACCCTAGTTCCAGCGTGAAAGCACTATAGAGCTTCTGTCATAGTACCACCATGAATGAGTTTTGGCCATTTCTCAAGTCTGTGTTTGCAGCTGGTAATTTTCTAGTTGTTTACCCTTCATACTTATTTCACCGTATCTATTGGTGATATTATTCAAATATATATAATTTAATTTGCCATTTTTAGTTTCCAAACATCATTGCGCCCTCTGCAGGTAACGTGTGGATCTACAGGGTTTACGAGCCCAACTATGTGAAGAATGGCACGATGGCCGACTCAACGTACTGCCACAAGACCGTGTATCTGTTCACCTTCTGGACCACCACCCTGGTCTACATCCTGCTGGGGGTCTACGTGTCGGGAATCTGCTGCGTGTTCATCTGCAGCGTGCTCATCTGCATCTCCCAATCTTCCAATCCAGATCCTGAAGACCAATCCTGAAAACTGATCCTGACGACTGATCCTGACAAATTGATGAGAACAAGGAGCGTGTTGTGCTCTCTGTTACCAGGCAACAAGAGTCCATATTATACAATGTGTTTGTAGCTGCCTTATTTTATCTGTTACATCATTAGAGTCTGTGTAGGTCTAAATATTACCATTATCAACGCAAACAGAAGAAACTGGGACTTTTCTGAACCTCCTGATGAAATATAGGCAGGTCAAAAACAATTTCCCACTGTTTCCCATTTTTATTAACCAAAACAGTTTATTTTATTATCTTGGCTCACTGGTCAACACAACTGTCCCATTACACGTTGGGCTCATATCATATGTTTTCATTGGAAATCTGTATTACTAAGTATTATTAAGCAGATCATATGAGACTTTATGAACTGTATGTGATTGTTTTGGAAATGTTGAAGAATCCAAAAAGTGCAAGACGTGTCCAATGTACAAGACGTGGATCATATTCTTGTGTCGTTAGAAATAAAAATCTAATATTCTATTATAATATTATTGTTGGACATTTGTTTCATGATAGTTGCAAGATGATTTGCTCACAGCTTCACTCCTATGTGAGGTGAACCTTTGTGAGCAGTTTGATTGACCCTAAATTGTAAACTTAGACAATCACTGGTTTGACTTCATGGCTTATTAAAGCTGGGGTACCTAACTTTCTAACCAACCAAGTTTCAGATTCAATTCCATGTTGTTTATTTGTTGTTTATTTTTGTATAGCAATAAATCATAGGCCAGGGGGGTCGCTGCTCCCCGCGCGACGTAAATTTGGACATGCGCAGTAGCCGAGTACACTAAATACAGTAGCTACGTGTGCTTCGAGCGCTACACAGAAGAGGATTCTACTCCTTCGTTCGACCAAACTAGACCACACCTTTTTCGCAGTTTCACGTCTGGCAGAGGGAGTGAGTACTGCTGTCCGGGCGCTAGAACTACATCGTTTTTGATCCTTGTAGTGTATGTACGCCGTGAAATTTGCAAAAGGAGCCTGGTCGTTTCTGTTAATAGCTTGTCCATGTCTGCGCAGCGCCTCCGTCTAAACTGGGCCTAAGTTTTTGATTCCTCAACAACATATCAGAGAATCAAACAGTTGGAGCACAGGCAATAAAAACAAGCACATAAGCGAGATGACCAATGTTCAACAATTTTTATAACTGTCAACTTTGCAAAAGCTTTTATGTGGTGGTCTGATTTGTTCACAAAATGTCACTTTTATCAAATCAAAAGTTTGGTATCCCAGCTTTGATACCATCGTTGTCACACGAAATGAAAGCAACATATCTCCAAGGTGTTAGTTTTGATTTCTCTGATATACATTTAGAGTTCCAAGTCTGCAGTTTCTTGTTCTGTTGCTACGTGAAGCATAAAGTTTACATTCATAAATTCTCAACCAGTTTTACTCCATTTATTTACTCCGAGGTCACATTGTCATAACCTATATACAAAATATACTGTAACATGTTAGACGTACAGTTAAATGTGCAGTTACAAACATACAATTTCATTACATTCCACTCTCATTGTGATTTCCTGGGCTGCACGGTCAACACTTCTTGCGGGAAAGAGTGGCCAGTGCTTTGGCGTGAATAGGTTTGTATAGAAGAGTGAAGCTCGAAGGTGTCAGCTGCCCATTGCCCTGTGCGTCAACTTTACCCATTAGCACATAGTTACGTCCTGCAAGAGAAGAACAAACACAAGAAGTCACAAAACACAAAACACAATCCTACTCTTTGTAAATCTGAGGTCAAAGTTTGGTGAAAATCAATTAATTCAAGGCCTTAATTACTATAACTTGTTGTAATTCCTATTTTCCTCTAGAATGCTATTCCATAATAAATAACCGTCCGACTGATTTACTCTAATTATAAGTGGTAACAAGTGCAGGACTGCTGTCTGGAGGGTTGCCTTGTCAACAGTAGAATGACCTACCACCTTTGACTATTGTTGGGTTTGGTAATAAGGAACTGATAAATTAAAAAGTCCAGGGACAATTACACTTTTACAATATTTAATATTCTGATATGATATGTATATTCTTAAAATAAAATGCATTGTTTATGTATGCTTCATATGTCTAGATGTTGATTGTTGACAAAAATAACATAAAATAAACTAAAATCCACAGGGAAGTTTGCGAGGTAACAGGTTATAATTAAGGGCTTCAGGTTCATAATTCCACTTGTGGACTTAAGAAAGTGAAAGTGAAAGTGAAAGTAAAGCAGTACCTTTGATGATTCCGGGGCACCTCTTGCAGGTGGACTGCAGAGTGACGGACATGACTGGACCAGATTTTGTGATGTTAAGTGCTCCACTTTTATAGGCTTTGATGAGGAACACTTCCACTGTGGCAGACCCTCGCGGACCCAAGGTTACAGAGGTAACTTTACCAGTGATGACTAAGCACAGAGAAATGGTAATTAGCACAATGTACGTGAGGGATTATACTGTGGACAGTAAAGGGATGTGCTCACCAAAGTCATGAGGACAGAAACTGGACTGGAGAGTTCCTGTCCGCTTACATTTCTGTGAGCAGAGCGGGTTCAGGGGTAACGCTGTGGAAAGACAACAGACACAAGATAATAATGCATCGGTTTTACATGTAATTTTTTATTCACTCCACAGCCGCCCTGGTCTCACACTGACAGAGGCAAGGCAACCGGTATGCGCCATCGGCCCCTCCGACCACCACCAAACATTCACGCACACACCAGACTCATTCTACACTGCAAAAAGTGATCAAATTTGGCTAAATGTATCCTGTATCTAAAATGATCTTGTTTTAATAAGGCACAAGAAATGTCTCCCTTGGAATGAGAAAATAAAGCAACAGTTCTTGAAATACCTGCTGGTCTCCCATCACAGCACACTAGTCAAGACTTTATTGTAAATGCAGTGATGTTTGAGGTGAGCTGCTTTCAAACTAAAGAAAGTCCATCATCGTGCACAGATGAAGGATTCTGTCATACTTAACAAGGACATGAAAAAGAAAATGTAAGTTCACACTCACGTTTCTTGCTCACAGCAGGCTTCTTGGTCACAGTCTTGCTCAGTGTTGGTTTCGGAGTCACTCTGGGCTTCACTTTTGGTTTGGAGGTGGGCTTCAGACCAGTTTTTGGCGTGGGTTTGACTGGTTTAACGGCTGGTTTCATTGTGGCCTTCACTTTGGGGGCAGTGGCCTTTTTGGTTGTCTTCACTTTTGGTTTTGGCGTTGGTTTGATGATCCTTGGTTTGGGTGTAGCTTTGGCAGCCGGTTTAAGTGCAGGTTTTGCCATGGCCTTCTTTGTCGGAGGAGTGGGTCTGGCTCGTTTGGGAGCGGTGGTGGGCTTCTGTCTGGGTTTAGGGGTGGGTTTGCGTGGTGGTGGCTTCAATGGTATAGTGACTTTTGGTTTGAGTGGTTTTGTGGTTGGTTTAAGGCCTGGTTTTGGTTTTGGGGTGGGTCTACTGGCTTCGACAGGTTTGAGGGGCTTGGATGTGGGTTTTGGTGTGGAGCTGGTGGTCGTGTGGAAGATGAAGTCTCCTCCGGCGGTGGGTCTGCGGGACCCCCGAGGCACGCTGTTGTAGAGTGCCATGAAGCCGTCTGACGTCACGCTGAGGTCAGACACAAACTGCACCAGGAGCTCGTTCCCATTGGTCACAATTGTTCTGTTCACGACACAATCAATCCGTTAATATTGATACAAACACAACTCAGATTGGGTTAATTCCAAACGGCCCACAGTTTGAGGACATCAGGACGTGATTCAGAATTTGACCAGAAAAGAAGACCAAGAATATGCAAGAGTTCGACGAAGAAACAATATTTACGTCTCTTTACAATTCAATACTAATACTCTTAAAGACTCTTGAAGCTCCTATCCCTGACTTTCCCTATGAGCTGAGCCAAATTTACTGTCCCTACAGGCCTAAAATCTATGGAGGTCAACCAGGTGCTCTGCGAAGACCTCCCTGTGCCTGCTCAGACTGACGAACACAGCATAGATTAATCACATATTGTAAATGTGCAAAGGGGTGTGTCATATCAGGAGACGTCATCCTGGGGTCCATACGTAGAAGCGGCAAGACCAGGTCTGGGTCTGGTCCTGAACTCTGGTCCAACAGTGGAGGCAGTCAGCTTCCTCCTTCCTCTGCCACATCTCATCACTTTTATGAAAGACATTTTGGAGAAAACAGGAAGCTACACTCCCTAATTGTCTATTGTCCCCAGTTTGACACTTGATATTTTCGTTTCTGTCTGTAATAGCCGGTCATAAAAGTTCCCCATATGCTTACGTTTTCCTGCTAGTCTGCGATCACCCAGAGGACATACTTTGACCTTTTCCTGGTTTTTTATCAAGTCTCTTTCATGATTGAAGCTTCCCCTTTCTACACTAACCACATAAAACACATTGTAATGAATATAGAGCTCACTGATCATTAATATAAGGCACACTTGTGTTTAGCGCAAACCGCATCAAACAACAAAGTCATTGTTAGTACATGAAATTACTGATGATAAAAGGTGATCAGCGTATTTTATTCATTCAATAGTATCTGTGGTCAATTAGGCAATCAATCGTCAAATTTAATCTCTTAATCTTAATATTAAATTCACATCTCTGCGCTGTAATAATCATACGCCCATCCCAAACCCATTAATAATACATTTGCCTATAATAATGAATAGGTTTTACTGTATATAGTGTATATAGTACTGTATTTTGTGGATTAATCTCTTAATAATATTTTTCTCTGTTGAACAGTTGCCCATAGAGATATGTCCTCTCTGCTCTCCATCTGAAATCCTTATGTAATTATGGAAATAGTCAACATGGCCGACATGTTTTAGCAGATGACCACGGATGTGTTTGCAGCGATGCAAGATTGTGGATATTTGCAATTTCAAATCATATCACTGGGGAAACAATAAATCAAAAGAAAATGGTGTATATTGAATGATACATGTTGGTCTGATGGTTTCAAAAACATTTGCACTGGCCCAAAACCATAAAAAATATACATAGTAATTATCAGCGGCAGGTACAGCATGACAAACAAAAAGTTTGTTAACCCTCTGGGGTCTAGAGCGTCGGATCCGACTCCTGCGCACATGTTTTATAAATGTTCAATTTTCTCATGAACGGCAAAACGTAGCGACTTACTTTTTTTTTCTCCGTGAAGTACACATTTCAGGCATTACAGCGCTAGTTTTGTTTTGTCTGTGTGACTTTTGGGGAATTTTCTACGTGTGTTTGAAAGTTGGTGTCCAATCGGATCTTCGAGCGGTCTCCCGTGAGGTAAAACAGCCAAAACAGTAAAGTTATTTTGCTTACACGCTGACACAGGGACTGCCAAAGATTGTCAGAGAGTAGGATGATTCACTCTCCTGTGTGTATTTATTGTCCCATAGTTGAAATTACAGCTGCGATTGCAATTACTGATGCGTAAAAGACGCATTATTTTAGCGGAATGTTACGAAAATGCGTCCCCGACACAGCTAATGTAGCTTTCGATCACTGATCTACGTGATCTACGAGTGATGTGTGTGTTCAGAGTCTGGGCTTGAAAGTGCATTACACAAAGATAGGAGGAGACGCAGATGCAGCGCTCACAAGAGCCAGCACCTGGCTGAAGAGTGCGCATTATTGATGTAATTATATTATATATTTATTATTGACATTGATAAATACATTATAATGATATGATGTATATGAATATAAGATGTTGTTTTTCTTTCTTTGTTTTCTTAGTTTTTTTTTGTTTTACATATCTTACAGCTGTGATACTGAAGCAATATATAGACTGCAATATATAAAAGCTGCTTCAGGAAGGGCATCAGGAGTACAGCGTTTTTTTCACTTGTAGTGGAATTTTGTAAAAATTATAATAGTCACAGGTTCAATTTTTTTCCCCATCAACCCCAAGACCCTAAATAACATTTCTATACAGTGTAAGAAGTTAGCAATAGCATTTCATTGTGTTTTTCAAAACATTTTGGTGAAATTGAATTTCCGTTTCATTTTTTTCTTTGTCTTCATGATTCCATATTTTTTATATAATTCATATGACAGCTGTACACTATGAATATTATAAATCCACATATTGTACTGAAAAAAACAAAGTTTACTGCTTGACTCTGCATCACAAGATGACTGTTTTATGAGCAATTATACACAAAGAAAACCAGGCGAGGAAAGTTCCCCAAAATGAGCTTAGACCTTGAAGGGTTAAAGACATTAGTTCTCACCCTGGGACAGTGTCACCGCAGAATCTTCCAATTCTTCTGGAGTCGTCGGTCTCTCCTCCGTTAAACAGAGCCACATAATCATATCGACAGTACGTATCAGGCTCCAAGTCCAGCTTCTCAAACTTGACCTCGATCACCTGTTTGAGCAACAGCAGTCACCATTAGACATAGAGACATACAGACGATTTTCATATTGTTTCAGGTCATTCAAATTCCCAAATGTGAAAACTGAGGAGGGTTTTTATCCAAATAAAACAGCAGATTACTTGCATAAAGAGAGGCATTTAGTCACTGGTCTCGCCTCTTTTCCAACATCCTTACATCTACATCTCTTGGCCGTGGGCACACACCTCTGCCTCTCAATGAACGCTTTCATTTCAGATTTGTTACGTTTTCCCAGAGACGGGCCCCTCACCACTACATACAGCCCACCCCCTTCTTCAAAATAAAACTTCAGTCTACACACCTGACCTACACAAAGCCTCCCACATCATTTTGATGCATGTAAGAAGATAAAGCAGAGAAGATAATGACAGCCTGACATTGCCGGGCTCCACAGAGATGTGCCAGGAGCAGCTGATGCCTGCTGGGTAGTTGGAGTTGGGCCAGTTTGGTGTCTTCACGGAGCCTTGTGCTTTGGTGAGGCGGCCTCCACAGAACTGGTTTTCTGTGAACAAATTGCACCGTCACTATTAAAATTTGTGGAAGGTGAAAAGGATGTTAACAGGCCACAAGTTATAGTCGCAGAAGGTCCAGGGCAAGGCAAGTTTTTTTAAATAACACAATTCATACACAATGCATCTCAAAGTTCTCAACTAAACAAGAAAATAAACATTAAAATCATACAAGAAATTGATCATAAACCAATCCCAGCACATTCAAAAGAGTAAAGATACTGGCCTTCAGTTGTCCAGATCATGATTTTAAAGCCAGAATCTGTATAATCATCAACACTCTATTGCAGGTGTCTCCAAACTTTTTCACCCAGAGAGCTACTTTCCCGAGACGATAAAGGCAGAGAGCTACTCCTTTAAGCATCCCTGGGAAAAATTTTTGGTGATATATTGGTTTGAACAAGTGTGATATTGGGTGCATTCATTATTGATCATTGCATATTTGTTACTAGTGCACAAAGTAGTTAATAATGATAATGAATAATACAAATATTAAGTATACATTTGATTTGTTAATATCTCAATCCTTTGGCGAGCTACTGTTGGCTCCCGAGCTACAGGTTGGAGACCCCTGCTCTATTGATTTCACTAGTGTACCTTCCACGTGTGGCTTCCCAGCGCTGAAAAAGGCCAAGAAACCTCGTCCAGACGTAGCATCGTCAGAAACCATCTCCAGCATCATGGTGTTGGAGGTGGAAATGAGAGCTCCAGGCCGAAACGTCCCACAGAAGCGCCCCAGCTTCTGCACCAGACGCGTGTGGCCGTTGTACACGTCCAGGTAGTCGTAGCGGCAGGTGGGGTCAGCCTCCATGTCGAAGAGGCGGAAGGACAGCATGACCACATGATCCTCGGGCACCTGGGACCAGATCATTGTAAATTATAATAAAGTTTGGAATGCTGAAACAAAACAATAAGAGATGTAGGCTAGCCATTCATGGTTGTCGGTTGTGTTGCAAAAATAGCTATGTTTAGGCTACTCCACCTCTGCTGCTGTGACCTGAAGGGCTGTTGTTGATTATTACTATGTTAGATTTTTAGAATGATCAATTACATTTTTTCTTTTTGCTGCTACTGGACACTAGAATTTCTCCTACAGGGGATCAATACAGTATCTATCTATCTACGTTTCTGCAAAACAGTAAAACACTTAAATGTAGACAGAATTGAAATGAGAATTGCCTCCTTCTGACCGACCTGCAGGGGCTGGACCACCATCACACTGAGGATGGAGCCAAGAGTCAGAAGAGATCTTTTCTCTGCACTGCCTTTTTGGGTTGAGGTTGAATTAAATGTACCACTAATTAACCAGCCACATCTGTTGAGAGAGTTTTTGGCTGAGCAAAGAGTCATGTTTGGGCGAAACATTCAAGTAAACATTGAGTTGAGAATCTACAGCCAAGAAAAGGTTTTACGATTACAGTTTTGACTTTATTCATGTTGTATGACGAGCACACAGGGCTCTCTGCACTGGTCCCTGCTGTAGCCTCATGCATGGATCATGAACTCACAGTGATGTACCAGGTGCATTTGGTGTTGGCTTTGTATTGGCTCGGGAAGCCCTCACTGGCCACGATACCAGAGTCTGTCACCAAGTGTCCTCCACAGTTGAAAACAGGCCTAAAGAAAATCAAATGCCTTTAAGTTCATGTGCAAGTCCACAAAGACCTGACCTCATTTTGTGCATCTGTGCAATAACTTGAACTAATGTCAGAATGTGCAATATGTCACTTTACATTGTCCCAGACAAAGAACATGCTGCTAACATGTTCAGATGTATACACACAGCTATATATTTCTTGCACTAGTATATAAAGTATTTGATGCTTGCTTCTTTAATTATACCAACGTCAGAGATTTTAAACTTGCGTCTTTATTATGTTATAGTCAGAGATTTGATTTGATTTTAATATAGAGTTATTGTTCACTTATCCTGTGCTCCTCATTCCTATGGTTCTGCAACTTGCGATCCAACACTGAAATTTCCCCTCTGCGGGACGAATAGAGGACCTCTTAATCAATGCATAAATCTGTACGCTGCTTATGTAAGTCCACAGAGTAATGAGTGGCTGTGCACACAAGCAGTGGGACATACAAGCTCTGACCGCACCAGGACAGGCCGCCTCTGTTCTGATTTCAGTTTCCTGGTGTTTTTCAAAACCTGGTCAAAGTAAACCCAAAGCACGGCCAACACACATAAGAATGCTCTGGGTTTTCTCCTGAGAGAGATCCACTAAACTCCATCATGCGATCGCAGAGCAGCTTTGGTCACACATGGCTCTGGTGACATATCCTCCCACTCTCAGATAAACACACATCAAAGCACATGTTTGTGGCAGCACCTCCTCTGCTCTTGTTTAATTGAAGTTTTCCTCATTTGTGTATTCAAGGCTCGTGCATTATCACAAGCATCACTTTTATGTCGCTTCATTCCTATTTCCAGACAGGATTGCGAGTTTTGTTTTTGTCCCTTTTACACTGGAATGCCCCGACCACATTTGGCCTGATCCAAAACCCACAAGCATGTGTTTGTTCCATTGGATTTACACCCCAAGTGAGCTTAGAGTGTACAGAGGCATCACCTTACAGTGAGCTTATTTGAAATGAAATATACAATAACTGATCAGATGTGCTTAATCACTCTCAAAAAGCACCATTTCTAAATTAATGTTTAGACAATTCTGACCACATTTCCCAACACAGCGCCCACTTAATTCCTAGTGTTCTGCGAGTGGCCAGACTGCCACCGGGACAGGAAATAAACAGTTATATCTTTGTTTAAAAACCGACTTGCCACGTGTAATAGGTTAGGAGGGGAATGTGCACCCAAGAAAATGAAATAAAATTGAAAATCAAAAATCAAAATTGGTATTTGCAAATGTACCTGGTGCTGGTCTGAGTCTGAGCCGCGGTCCATCCGAGGGTCACAGTGATAAACCAGCAGATGTCCCACACCCTGAGCTCCATGGTCCGACCTCAGAGGCTCCAGAGAGAAGCAGGCGAGGAGAGAGGAGAGACTGAGGAGGGCTGGGTCATAGGGGAGAGGCTGCACCGCTGCACTGGGGGGTGGTTCATTACGGCTGGAACTCACTCAGAATTAATCATAGTTTTTAGAGAGTTGTTTTACTTCCACCTACGTAAAAAGTACAGCAGCTTCAGAGTGATAATACTGTGTTTCCTTTCCCTTGTGAATAATTCAAGATTGATATTTTAATTTAACCCCTATTTAACCAGGAAAGTCCCATTGAGATTAAGAACCTCTTTTTCAAGGGAGTCCTGGACAAAATAGCGAGTCCTGGGAAAAAAAATGAAAAATGACTCTTATCATTTTGTGGGCTCTCCATTGAATACAGGTGAAACTCTGAAAATTAGAAAATAGTTCAAAAGTTTACGTATTTCTGTAGTTCAAATTATATGATATGGTCAAGACCTGGGAAAACTGCGGGCTGGGGGCAACACACAGTCCAATTGATGTTTCTATGCGGCCCCCAGGACCCTTCCCAGCAGTTAATCTTGTCATGGTGTGGATTTGGTGTTATTTTGTGCTTGGTTTTATTTTGACTTAAATTCTGTGGTTTTGTTTTAGATAGATAGACCTTTATTGTCCCCTGAGGGAAATTCATTTTCACAGGCACTGTCACATACAGGTTACAATAGACACAAGAGACACCGAAGGGAGGGAAACACATACAACGCAGGAACAAGGGCAACATTACAGACTGTTTAGAGCTGCTATCGTTGAAGGGACAAAACTTTTACTAAATCTTGCCCTCTTCCATCTTAGGGTTCTGTATCTGCGTCCTGAGGGCAGCAGAGTGAAGTGGGTGTGGAGGGGATGGTCTGGGTCAGTGCTTACTGTCCGGGCCATGCGTGTTACTGCTGTGAGGTTGAGCTGAGAGAGGTCTGCGGTGGGGAGACTGATGATTTTGGATGCTGTGTGTGTGACTTTAGTGAGTTTGTTTCTGTTGGTGATGGAGAGCATGTTAAAGTAACAGGGGGAGCAGTAGAGGAGAATAGGTTGAATGATTGAAGAGTAGAGTTTCAGAAGCAGATTTGGAGAGACAGAGAGGGCACGGAGCTTACGAAGGATGTAGAGTCTTTGTTGGGAACGTTTATGGATATCTGTGACATGTTGTTCAAAGGTGAGTTTATTGTCGAGTGTGAGTCCAAGGTATTTGAAGTGATTAACCCGTTCTATTGTTTTGTTGTGTATGAGAGTGGGAGGCAAGTCTGGGGTGTGTGAATGAGAGTGGAAAATTAGTTCCTTGGTTTTGTCCGTGTTCAGTTCCAGAGAGTTTTCAGAACACCACTCTGTGAAGTGGGAGATGGACTGATGGTAGGCAGTGATGGAATTATTATCTGTCAAGAGGGCCAGAATGGCAGTGTCATCAGAATATTTGAAGTATGTGGTGGTTGGAGATGGGCTGATGCAGTCGTTTGTATAGAGGGTGTACAGGAATGGACTTAATACACACCCCTGGGGGGCGCCAGTGTTGGTGACGATGGTGGATGATGTCACTGAGTCAACTCTGACGGCCTGTGGTCTATTGCTGAGGAAGTTATGAGTCCAGCGAATGAGGAACGGGGGCAGGTTGAGGAGTTGGAATTTCCTGATTATTTGAGGGCGCTGAATTGTGTTGAATGCTGAGCTGAAGTCAATAAACAGGATGGATGCAGACGTACCAGGTAGTTCCAGATGTTGAAGGAGGGGGTGGAGGAGACATGAAACAGCATCCTCTGTTCCTCGTCTGGCTCTGTAAGCGAACTGGTGGGGGTCCAGCAGGGGTCTGACTGTCGGGAGGATGGAGTGAAGTATGAGTCGTTCTAAGCATTTCATTATGATGGAGGTAAGTGCAATGGGTCTGTAGTGGTTTGGCTCGGATGGTCTGGGCTTCTTGGGAACCGGGATGATTGTGGAAGTTTTCCAAGCTGTGGGAATGTGTGGCCAGCCTTAAGGAGTCCCAGAAGATTGAGTGAAGGACTGGTGACAATTCCATGGCACACAACTTCAGCACCTTGGCCGGGATACCGTCAGGGCCTGGTGCCTTGCCCATCTTGCACCTGCTAAGTTGTAGGTGTACATCCCCCTCCGTAAATGGGGGCTGTGATGGGGAGTCCAGGGGCAGGGCACTGAGCAGTTCTAAATCCGGGGTGCAGATCGTGCGATGGATTTTGATGTTAACGCACCATCGCTTATTTACGAAGAGGCAAACTCCGCCACCTTTTCGCTTCCCGGACTTGCTGGTCCTGTCCGCCCGAAAGATGGTGAATTGATTGAGACTGACCTCAGAGTCCAAGATGGTCCCGTCCAGCCAGGTCTCGGTCAGGGCAACATGACGCAGGCATCTCTGAAGGTCCGTTCAAATCGACATTTGGAGTGTAAAAGGTCCATTTTGTTGCGGAGGGAACGGACATTAGCCAGGATTATGGAGGGCAGAGGGGGTCTGAAGGGGCGCTTCCTCAACCGGGTACGAACCCCACCTCTTCTGCCCCGTTTCCGCGGTCGAAGTTCTGGGGGAAAATTTACTAGAGGCTTCTGGAGACTTAAGGAGGACAAGCGTAGTTGGAGCAGCTCGTCCCGGCTATAGGTGAGTGGCGCATAGCCGCTTATTCCCAGGTGTAGGGCCCCACAGTTCTTAGCGAGCCACAGTATTGACAATGTTAGTAGAATAATCTTGCTCAGGTTCAGCATGTTGCATACGTTTCTTTTTTTTTACACACAGAAAGGATGAAAACTTAAAGACATGACAGACAAGTGACAGGCCGTGTCGTCGCAGCAGAGCATGCGCCGGAATGTAATGAGTTCTTGACTTCTTGTTCTGTTTCCCAGTTTTGATTTGTGTTTCACTTGTGTCCCTGTCTATAGTATGTACCTGTGCTCATCCCCGCTTGTTGCTGGTCCATTGCCCATAGACTTTTATTTTTGGATTCCTGCATTTTGGGTTTTCCTTCATTTAACCTCACGACAAACCTCAAAAGTAATAAAGAAATATATCAAACCTATTGTAAACTAAATCAGGGATCAGGCATCAGCGGGCCAAAAAAAATAATTTATTCAAGCCGAGGGCCAGACTGGTTCAATCTTTATTAAAACATGATAAAATTATTATATTAAATGAACATTAAATGATTTCTTATGGCCATGTGCGGGTCGGTTCTAATACTTCCTGGGGCCAAGATAATTCATTCATGGGCCGGATCTTGAATCTTTGACACCCATGAACTAAACAATAAATTCACTCAAAATACCTTCATTCTGTAAAGATTTAAAACTAAAACAATAGTCACAGAGGCTAAAGTGGAGAAGTTTACCCAATAGAAGTTCCCGGGTTCATGTCCCACTTCGGCGGGGCTCAGTTTCCCCTTAGCTTAAAGCGATGACATTTAGATGCCTGATGTTCCATCACTGTGTGGAGCGAGAGAGGACAAATACCCACAACAACAATTGTAAAGCGCTTTGTGTGTCTGCAAAAGGTGCTATATAAAGAAAATAATGGTTTACTAAAGGTGAAAAACAAACTCAAAGTGTTTCCCCGGACAAAATAATTGTCCAACACCTGATACAGACTCATCAAAGTGACATAAGTCTGTGTTTGTGCTAATGTTGATGATTATGGTGATTATGTGTGTATGTGTGTATGTGTATGTGTATGTGTATGTGTATGTGTGTGTATATGTGTGTGTATATGTGTGTGTGTGTGTGTGTGTGTGTGTACGTGTGTGTATATGTGTGTGTGTATATGTGCACTTGTTTTCAACTCCTGGTGGGTTCCATAACCTGAGATTCCACTCACGTCATGGGGACTGGTTTTACGTGGTGGGGCCCGAACACCGGACCCCACTGGTCCAAGCTTAATAATCAATGGGTAATGCTTTTCTAACGGTCCTTATGCAGTCTCTGTAAAAATATGGAAAGGACCCCTGGAGGTTTACTTTCCTGAAAAAAGTGTGTTATGTGTCGGAACCCTGGTGGTGGGTTGCGGGATATCAAGGAGGGGCACACTGGGGCAATTTCAGTCCAGCAGGCTGGAGCCAATCATGGAGCAGCACAACAGAGGAAATCAGGTGTCAGGCTAGAAAAAGGTGCAAGTGTGTGGTTCATTAGGCTGCAAGAAATCATGGAGGAGCACACTGAAGCGCACGCTTACAAACCACTGGTAAGTGCTGACTACAAGTCATGACTTCAAATTGTTATATAGAATGATTACAAATTATTTGTTGTTTGTGCAGCTTAGTCAAGAGTCCCTAATGATGAAGTCGACTCAGATTCTGACGATTTAACTGTCAAGAAGAAACCTGTAAAAAAGTATGGAAAAAGAAAAATCAAAAACACTTTTCTTCAAGACTCGGAAAGTGACGAACCAAAGGCAAATAAGATTGTTATCATGCAGCTGCAAAAGAAGAAAAATGGGGGGCGAGTATACAGCAAGAGACACTTCTGCCTCTACTGTTCAATGTCCTGCCACAAAATGTCCCGTCATTTGACTAGAAAACATGGAAATGAAAGTGACGTAGCCAGAGCATTGGCTCTACCTGTGAAATCTAAAGCACGTAAACTTCAGTTTGATTTGATCAGGAATAGTGGAAACCGTGAGCACAATTTTGAGGTTTTAAAGGCCGGCATTGGAACTTTAGTCCCAGCTAAACAGCCAAATTGCCCAGTTAAATCCAGTGAGTTTTTGCACTGTATAGACTGTGGGGCATTGCTTAAGCGAAAGTCGCTGTGGAGGCATGTGGCCAGGTGCCGGCTTTCACAGAAAGATGCCCAGGCTAAACCAGGTAGAAGTAGGGTCCAGTCCCTCTGCTCCCTAGCCCAGCCTGTACCGGAGGGCATCAGCAAAAAGCTGTGGTCTTTAATTTCGGCAATGCATCAGGATGAGGTCACGGGTGTTGTCAAAGCAGAAAAGGGGATTCTGAGACTCGGAGAGCACCTGTACTTAAAACACGGGCATGATAAGACAAAGCATGATTACATTAGGCAGAAAATGAGAGAAGTCGGTAGGTTAATTAACGAAGCAAAAACCGCAGGGAAACTCCTGAAAACAATTAAGGATTTCTTTATTCCTTCCAACTTTAACCATGTGATTGATGCAGTCAGGTCTGTGGCTGGATTATGATGAGGAAAAACAAATCAATACAAGACTCCATCCTTGGCCCTCAAACTCGGCCATAGCCTCAGAAAGCTAGCAGATATTCTTGAATGTGACTCAAAAATGGAGCATTGTGTTGATGAACTATTTATTAAAAACCTCAAACGAAGCCGGCTGCTTTTTGAGAAGAGGTGGGACGTCTGTGTTTCTTCTGCTGCCCTACAGACCTCCGGGCAAGCCAAGTGGAACACTCCGGACCTGCTCCCTCTGACTGAGGAACGTTAGAGCCATGCATGCACATATTGAGGTATGTCGACCTGAATATGTGCAAACCTAATAAGTGAGCCAAGTCTAAGCATTGGTCTAAACTGGCAGTTTTGACTCTTTGTGAGGTCATCATTTTCAATCGAAGAAGGGAAGGTGAGGTTTCAAAGATGCCACTGACAGCCTTTACCTTAAGAAGTAAGACTGGGATCCATTCTGACATTGCTCTGGGACTGTCCCAACTTGAGAAAAAGCTGTGTCAGCATTTTCAACGCATTGAAATTAAAGGGAAAAGAAGTCGGAAAGTGCCGGTTCTTTTGACTCCTGAAATGATTGCTTCGATGGAGGTGCTGGTGGAGAACAGAAGGGCCTGTTCCATCTCTGACCATAACCCATACTTCTTTTCCCGCCCGGGCGCAGACACCCACATCAGGGGATCAGACTCCCTACGCCAGGTAGCCAAAGAATGTGGTGCGGTGCATCCAGAGATGCTATCCTCAACCAAACTTAGAAAGCACATAGCTACTATGTCTACAGTTCTCAATATGAAAGAGAATGAGATGGACATACTTGCCAACTTCCTCGGCCATGACATTCGCATCCACAGGCAATATTACAGACTACCAGAGGGGACACTGGAGCTGGCCAAAATCAGCAAAGTGTTGATGGCCATGGAGCAGGGAAGAGTGACGGAATTCGAAGGAAAGAGCCTCGACCAGATACAAATTGAGCCTGAAGGTAATTCTTGATATTATTAAAATATGTATGATTTTTTTCCCCTAAAGGCCACTTGTATTTTTATTTTCTGTGCGACAGGGAGAGCAGTAGAGATCCTCTCACAAACGGACGGGCTAAAAGAAACTTCAAGCGGAGAACCTTCAACCATTCATCCAGATGCACCCCATGGTAGTGGCAGTGCCCCTTCTGGTAAGTGTACCAGGTGGGGGATTACAGCCAGGCTGCTTGGTCCTCACCCTGGGAGTGTATATTGCTAATATATTTTTATTTCTCTCCCTAGAACGTGTAAGAAAGCCATGGTCTGCATCTGAGGTGAAGGCTGTGGAGAAGACCATGACACCTTTCATACAGACTGGAAAGGTCCCTGGGAAGTCTCACTGCCTGGCCTGCATTAATGCCTCACCAGATGACCTTAGACATCGGACATGGAGTGGCATTAAATTCTATGTCAAAAATAGAATCACTGCAATTCGAAAACAAAATCTAAAATAAAATTCCTTTAAAATAGTTGTTTGGTTTCTATTGACTGTTTTGTATTACTTAAAGTCTTGGTAAAAAAAGATTATGTCTATGGGTCCCATTCTGAACGGCCCTGTCAAAGGGACCCACCAGGTAACAAAAACGTGTATGTGTGTGTGTGTGTGTGTGTGTGTGTGTGTGTGTGTGTGTGTGTGTGTGTGTGTGTGTGTGTGTGTTGATGTTCTTCATTCTGTATAATGCGTTGCACTGTAGGGGAAATCACAGGGACAGGAGTGGAGATTCTCTGTTTGTGTAACCACATTTTCCCTGTCAAATAAAAGTAAATAAATAAATAGATTTAAAACAATAAATGCAATAAATACAATGAATACAATAAAATAAAAATAAAAGATAAATACATTTAAAGCAATGAATAAAATACAAATAAGTACATAAAAAATGAAAAAATAAATACATTTACAATAAATAAATAATACAAATAAAACAATAAATAACATTTAAATAAATGAATAATTAAATAAAAAAACAAATGAATTCATAAATAAACAAACAAATGAAATCATAAATAAATAAACAATCAATTGTCCAAATATTCTTTTGCTCTGGGATGTTTTGCTCTGGGATTGTACTCTGAGCCAATTGTCAAATCATATAATATATAAAGACTTGATAAATCTTACTTTGCGTGTTCTGCGTCTGTCATACCCGTCTCACATTGTAAGTGGAATTGCAGAAGTAAATGGACTTTTGAAAAACATTCTCATCGTTTATTGGAATTGGAAGTTATTACTTTAACTTCCAATTACTAATCCGATGTTTTCATGCGTCGTTTTCTTGCTCATAAGTTTTGTCGCTTTGCGCAGCTGTTTTTTGTGTGAATGGGAAATATAAATAAGATCGAAATGAGTCCGGCCAAACAGACATCTCTCTATTACTCATATTGTATTCTTAATCCTCCTGGGCCACTACTTTGCATTTGCAGTTATACCTCAACACACTGCAGCACGGTGGCTGAATGGATAGCACTCCTGCCTCTCAGCAAGAAGGTCCTGGGTTTGAATCCTGGTCGGAACAGGGCCTATCTGAGTGGAGTTTGCATGTTCTCCCCGTGTCTGCATAGGTTTCCTCCGGGTGCTCCAGTTTCCCCTTCCACTAAAAATATGCTCACTGGTCCTGACCAAGCTGAGCCTCAACATCTGGAGATGGGTTCCTGGGTGCTGTACTACAGCGACCACTGCTCCTGACGTAAGCCTTAGTGGCATCAGGTTGGGTCAAATGCAGAGTACAAATTTCCCTACGAGGACAATAAAGTGCACATTTACATTGTTTGTCCCATAAAAGTCAAATGTGAAGAAATCGGCCCACAACACGCTTTTTTCTTATTAGATAAAATGTATTTTTTGCATAACTGTAAGATTTGACATTTTAGCTGTGAGCTGAGAGTCCAAAAAAACATACATGTGAAAATAGTAATAGAACGTTTTGAGAGCGAGGGAATAGATACATTTTATTTTATTTAGTTTTGATTTTGTAGTTTTAAATTAAGAACCCCAGCTTTAAGTAACATTAATCAGTATTAGTAACTATTACATTTTGAAGCTAACCAAACATGCGTGGCCCCAGCATGTATAAACAAAAGTCTAAAAGAGGTTTTGCTTGATTTTATATATATATATAAAATATATATAATCATATATATTAGTGCTTGTTCACAGCATCCTTCTTATTGTGTGTGTGTGTGTAAATAAGTGTCTGTTCTGTTGTGTTCAAATTCAAAACCTTTTCAAATGTGTGACGTCTGTAATCAATGAAAAGCTAGAGTCATTTCGCTCCTTTGTGTGGAGCGGCCTCTGCGTTTTGTCTTTTTCGGGCTGTGGCGACTCAAACCTCAGTTCAACAGAAGCAGCCTGTGGTTTCAGCTTGGACTCCGCTGCCCAGATCCACTCGCTCCGTCTCCACGACTATTGCATAACACCAACAAAAATAGACCAGGGAGGTGTGTAATCATGAAGCTCGCAGGACATAGAAAGATGTTAGAGGTCAGGGTAAGGTCTTTGAGCCATTTTATTATTCTCATTTTGTACAAACAATTTCACAAAAGTTTAAGAAACATCAAAGTGATAAAGCAAAGGAGACATGACCAAAAACAGTGTCAGGAAGAAGGACAGCTTTATGAGGGAATATTTCATGTGACTGAAAAGGCCTCACAAACAAACAGTGTGTGAAGCAGAAAGGTCCTTTTCTTTAAAACTGTACATCGCCGACAGCAGCAAGGATATAGCACTTTACTGAAACTGATGAGATGGTGTAGAAACTGAAAAATTATAAAAAAAAGACTGACGGTATAAAAATATATGAAACTTTAAAAAAATAAAAAGGCAAACATAATCCACTGTACAGTTTTGTCTTTTTGTTTTTAACAAGATTTTGTGTTTGAAGTGTCACATGACAAAACAGTCAAGTCAGAGTTCTACAACAGCGGCACAGGAAGTGATCTGCATCAGGAATGAGAAGCTGGAGAAGGACATTTATGTAAAAAGGTGCCTTTTAGAAACACATTCCCCCTTTCGTCTCCACTTTTTGTTATTTAAATAAATATATATTTATATATGTATATATATATATATATCTTCCAAAAAGGAAGTGTGCGTATCATGGTTTGCAAAGGCATTCCTTGCATAATCTTGAACCCGGCCTTTTGTCCAAGAGTCCTCGGCCGTTTCAGAGTTTCAGAGTTTCAGAGTCATGGTTTCTACAGGACCATGTGAGACTCTGGAGCACTGCTCTCAGCGCTGCTGGGAGAGTTAGTCCTGTGCTGCTCTGTTCTTTCTGCTGGTGATTTGTTGGCTTTCTCCTCTTCACGCTCCTCTGTGTGAGCCTCATCCATGACTGTCTCTGTAGTGTCCTTGTCTTTTCCAGGATGCCGCTCCTCAGACTTCAGCACGCTGCACAGTTCCATCTCATGGATCTCCACATCGAAGGGCTCAGTGGGGAGCACACAGGGCGGAGACTTGCAGCCGGTGCAGGCCTGTAAACCCCATAGAAACATGTCAGTGACGTCTGACTCAGACACATGGCTCTAGCAGAGGAGGGTTATTCTTACAGAGATGTTTATGGGCCGTGGCAGGCGTCCGGTGCGGATCCAGGGGTGCACTTGGCTCAGTTCCCTTTTCTGGTCATCAGTGAAACGAGGCTGCTGCTTCTGCATGTTTCTGAGAGCCTCACGGTCTTCTCGCAGAACAGTCTCCAGGTCCCTGAGAGACAGAAACACAGAGTTGACTGAGCTGCTGGCGCCATGTGACTACGTCATCCAGATCCTTCATGTCACTTCTATCTCTGCGTGAGTGGGAGGGTCTTACCTGACAGGCAGCTGGTAGGTCATCATGACCTTATCCTCGGTGTTGGCCATGAGAAGCCAGATTGGATCTTGCAGGACACACTTAATGAACTGCTCTTCTCCACCATCTCCCCCTGCACTACTGCTGCCCCCTGCTGGCTGTTTGCGAGAGTGGTCATTGTCAGAGGAGTCAATGCTGCCAAAGTATTTACTGGTGTGGCTGCCCTGGCTGCTGCCTAAAAAACACATAGAACATAAAACATACATGAGTAAAAGTTTATGGCAAGTGTTTGGCTCAAAATTGTGAGTGTGGTCACTGACTTGTGCAGCCGGTGCCGGAAGAGCTGCACCCATTAGATCCGGAGCCTGAGCCGGAGGAGCCAGACCCCGAGGCAGCAGAGCCTGTCCCAGAGCGAGAGTCCTCCTGCAGCAGCAGGTCCAGCAGGTCACTGGAGGTGGACATGGCGTCAGCCTCAGGGTTCGACTCGTTGGCTTCACCCTGAGAGGAAAAGGTGAATTAGCTTCAACATGTACACAACAATGAGCTTGAGCCAGAGGCAAAGCTTACATTTTCATTGTCTTTGGAGGCGTCCTCTGCTTGTGTTCCAGGGGCCCCGCCCTGAAGAGAGGGTGTGGTCTGTTGTGACGCTGCCAGAGCAGTGGCCACCTCCAAACGGTTACTGGGAGACTCTTCCAGCTGCAGCAGGTTGAGAGGGGAGGAGCATCGGGACTGGAAGAGAGGAGACTCTGCTCCCTCACGCTCAGCAGGTGTGTGGCTGGGGGACTGAGGTGTGCTGCTACGAGACGGGGCACCAGTCCCCAGAAGAGGAACAGGGGTTGAAAAGGGAACAGGGTTTGAGACTACACATGGTGCTGTAAGTGGGGTGGGTCCTGGGTACGCAAAGTTCGGATTAAAAAAATGTCCGGTGGGTGCTGCCTGGGGCATGGGGGGCCCCACTTGAGGGAAAATGTAGTTTGGCAGAACCAGGGCCATCATGGGAGGCACCATCTGAGTTGGGGGGAATCGAGTTGGATCTGGGACCGAGAGGGGCTGCGCAAGTGGGGGGTAGATGGGGTAAACTGGAAGCATCCCAGGGGCAAAGGGAGCAGCAGGGATGCTGGCCTGTGAGCCCACAGAGGGCCAGGAAGAGGATGTGGTCGGAGGACACAGGGGAATGTTCATGGGCAGAGGCATAGGCATTGTGCTGGTCCTGGGGTCTCTGTGGCTGCACATGGAGCTGTGCTGCTCGGAGGACTCCTGGTGTTTCAGCCTTTTGCCCCCACGGCCACGGCGATAACTGGAGCTGCTCCCTGCAGCTGGGTAGTCACGAGAACAACGCACACCTTTGGATAAAAACACAGAAAAGTTGAGTTTCTTGGGCAAAACCACAGCACTTGTATGTTACTCAGTGTTGAATGTGCTCTGGTACCTCTTGACAGGGGGTTGGTAGCTGGAGTAGGGCAGTGAACAGTGGAAGAGGTGGTCTGGTCAAACACTCGGAGTTTACTGAGGTCTTTGAAGCGATCCAGAAAGGCCTTCTCCTCCTGCTGAGTATGTGCAGAAAGCACCTCCTTTGTCAGCCCCAGACGGCCCCCGCTCCCACTCCTGCGGCCATCCCGCTCTGACTGAGTCTGAGGGAGGAATGGTGGAGGTGGGGGAGGAGGAGGGGCAATGACGGAGCTGTTGGGAGGAGTAGAGACACTAGCAGGAGGAAGAGGGACAGTGCTAGGAGCAGCCAGAGTGGGAGTGCTTGGAGCCTCCTCCATGACGATATCTGTAGAATGCAAAGTGTTTCATTAGTACTCCTTATTCGCTTCATAAATTATATATATAAATATATATCATATATATTATATATATACATAACTAAATGTAAGTTGAGGTAAATACATCTAAAACAAGTTAACAATAAATGACAACACTAAGTATATTTATAATACTAAATTCTGACAATCTGTCCTTGACAATCTTCAGATCAAACGACAGCTCTCTTCACAGATTGCATTTCATATTATGAGCCTTTGTCCCATTTCTCTTCCCTTAGAAAAGTGGTGGCTTCATTAAAAGAAGTAATTCCTGAACACTTTCTCCAACATACTGTATGTAAGGTCCTACCATTGCATTGTAGCTTGAATATGTATTAGTACTGTCACTGTCACCGTCTACATTATTCTAAAGCTATGCACTATGCATTAGGATCAGAAATAATGGTAAGTGAGCGAGGCACACCAGATTCCGGAGGCTTTTTGTCTCCCACATGGACGATGGTGCTGCTGAAGCTACACTGCGAGGTGACTGAGGCTACACTCTCTGCTTTTGTGGCCAAGGTCAGCGGCGGAAGTGAGGACGGCTCCCCTACAAGGCTTACCGAACCACCTACAAAAAATGGCAACAAAATTATAGTTAAAGCTGGACTACAGGCGCACATCAATAAATTAGAATTTGTGGATTCTGTAAAGGTTTTTTTTTTCAAATTGATGAGTTATTGATTGTATACTGTAAATATGATGAGTATCTATTGCAGAAATTAGTATCAGTAACTGAATAATAATAATAATGGTTGAGGTCAAAATGTTAAAATATTGAAACATACTTTGAATAGTAGATTTAGTTGTAAAATTTAGTTGTGGACTAAACTGATTCATGAATGTGCGCCTGTAGATGCATATGACTAAATTCATGATCATAAATTCAGTCATAAGCGTTAAATAAATGATTAAGTGAATGATGGGAGCACTTGAAAACGTGCTGTACCTTTATTGGCACCAGTGGTGTCCTGCTGTTTGTCATCATCAGAAGTGGAGGAGGCTGTGCATGAGGACGAGCCACACTTTCTTTTGACTGTGTTGGGAATGTTGCAGCTCTCCAGGTACCTGTGTCAGACGAAGCATTTTCTTTAGTAACACTTTTCTAAAAGCATTTCTAAAAGAGCACATAGTGTGAGTTGTGTGCACATACCGAATGATGCTGTCTAGACAGTTGATCTGTTGGTAGGAGTAGCCATTGGTGGCTTCTTTCTGCATCAGAGGAGTCGGGACCAGGGCTTTGGGAGGTTTGGTCATGTCCATGATCAGTCCCCTCACTGGGTCACTGCTGATCACGCGGAGGTCACTGGCCACACCTTCACAACCAAAGGTCCCATGTCAGTTTGAGCACACAAATATACAAATGCACAGATGTTGTGTGGGCCTTACCTAAGCTGGGGGTTTTCCTCGGTGGCGCTCTGTTGCGTGACTCAATGAAAACTTGTTGTCCATTTGTTTTTACTGTATGAACATTTTTACAGATCTGCTGGAAACTCATCTGAAAACACAGCCATTTTGGGGGTTTTTTAACCTGTCTCACATAAAATGATTTTAAACCTTTCTAATTAAATTCAACTAATAATACTTCAAGCTACATTATCTTACTTAAAATCACATCTCTTGTTCTTTTCATTTAGTTATTAAAAATAATAGTAAAACATTTCTAAAGGAGCAGGTGGCAAATCCCTCTGTCCAAAATACATATTTAATATACACTACAAGAACTACTGTACAGTTTCTACACTATAAATCTAGTTTTCTGACTAGGTTAGATTTACTTCATGAGTCATAGAACATTTCTCTTGTTTGTAGGCGTATCCAATAAGTTAAAGACACTCCACAGTATACTGTCAAACGTTGTCAGTTATAATACTGTACAATGTAACATCCTTAAAGTAATGAAGTAATAAAATGAATTGGCCAATGAAGGCAGTCATTTTACTCACCCCATGCCCAATGACATTGCATTAGTTCTTCAAATTAGAGCCATTTAAAAAACTGTCAGAAACATCCAAAAACAAGTAAGACAATCTAGAGCCATAAAGTGAATCAATCCCTTTAAACAAAGTCCAGAAGTGTAGTAGAATAATGAGTATTCAGCTGCTCTGTGGACTCACGGGTTTGTGCAGAGTGACGGACTGAGCCTCGTCCATCAAAGGGCTGTTACTTTCGCTCGATGACGTGCCGGAGGCGCTGGGGTGCTGCCGGTGGGAGTGGCGAGACCCCCGGGAGCCGCTGGAGCCCAGGGAACTGTAGCCTTGGGAGCCGCCGCTGTGGATGGGTTGCACCAGGATTCTGTGGATCTGCTCACTCGTCTGCACCATGTCTGGGGTGAGGCGAGCGTCACCACCAGGGGGCATGGTGAACACGTCCTCGTTCAAGGGGCTCCTGCAGAAACAGATCAGACGAGTGTGAGAGCTGAGGGCCACTGGAGACCTACACACAAGTCCTCTCATCAGCCAGGGGGGCATCGCTCTCTGTCTCTTTACGCATGTGACCAAAACAGTGTGTCATAGTTGGAGGAGTTGACACCTGAACATGTCCTACTGTTTGTATTTAAAGTGAATCCTTACTAACAGAATGAATGTTAATTGGAGATACAATGCTCATAAACGCGTTGTCTATATGTTGTGGGTGCTGTACTGGGACCTACGTTCGGACTTTGTGGCGGCCAACGATGAAGGCCACTTTACGACTCCAGGGGTTGACGAATGAAGACCAGCTGGTGTCCAGGGTCACGTACTCCCCGCTGCGAGCGCACATCCTCAGAGGAGAATAGTCAAATGGCTGCCCTGCAAACTGAAAGACTGCAGAGGACAAAGTAGGAAAAGTGTGAAGAGAAACCATTCAAACCCTTAATGTTAGCACAGACCAAAACAATGTCAACAGGGAATCAATAACAACTCACTTTTCTCATGGATAGCCACCATCATGGCCCGGTCCTCAGGGTGAATGTAAAGCAGAATTGGATTTCCCACCAAGTCCTGAGGCAAATGTCCGAGCAGTGGTACAGCTCTGCAAATACAAAACTGTTAGTTCACTTGGATAAGTGCGCTGCTGCGATGAGCCTTTTTGGTGGCATCATGGGCTGACAGCAGTGACCACGCCAAAAAATACAAAGTAGAGTTCACTACTGACCTCTCATCAACTTCCTGAAAGAGACAGCTGGGAGTGTGGCTGGTAGTGAAGATCCTCTTGTCTGCAGGGATGCGGGGAGCTGCAGAAAGGTCATGATACATTATTTTCTATATTCATATTAAGAGTGAGGTAAGGAATATCTGTATGTATCACAAAACAGTTGTGACATTAATTACCTTCATATCCGGAGTGGACCTTCTCTGCGATCAGCAGGCAACAGGGCTGTGGCTCTGCTGCGTCTGAGTCCCTTACGGTCAGCTGGTACGGCGTCAGGCGGAAGGGGTAGTAGCGCATCTCGCCCCCTTGTGTTCGACTCGCGTTGATGCGACAAAACATGGACTTCTCCTGTGTGCAATCCACAGGTGGAGGCACTGGGAGCAAACACCAACAGGTTGAGTACATGGCAGATTCTTTTTTTGAAAAGACTTAAGCAAAGACACTAATATAAAGCCTCACCAGAGCCAATGCAAGAAGCCCAAGAAGGCAAGCGGCAGGGGGCTGTGCTACTGTAGAAAGTGCTGATGTCTTGTGGTGCCAGAAGCTCAGAGAAAATGGCCCCCTGGAGACAGTCTGGTTTACAGCGCAGCAGCGTAGAGCCCTGGGGGGACACATACACCACTTTCCCCGACAGGAACGACACCGCGATGGAGAACGTGTCCTGTGAACAGCACAGCCATTATTCATCATCTTTGTACAGTCAAATCTCCATGAAATACTGTGTTACTTAGTAACTAGAATCACTTATATTGGCACTAGTTGGTTATATAAAAATCCTCTCATGTGACAAAAAATATCTAATTGGATTATGTTGCCAAACTCACAGTGTTTTTGAGGGTGTACTCTGAAGTAATGTTGTCCAGCTCTTCGATTGTGAAACAGGACAGGTCCAGGCTGCAGCCTTGACACTCCTCTACACTCCACTGATGATAATACTCTTTGTTAGCTGAAAATAGACAAAGTATTTTAGCAAATAATAGAGAAAGACAAAGACATAAATAAATATTATGATAAATACTGACCGCGAACTTGTCTCACACACTGAAGTGCATATTTCAGGGCATTGAGCGTGCTGGAGCGGCCCTTGCCCTTACGTTCCACTGGGAGGCGCAGCTTTAGCTCCTTGATGGCCTTCATGAGCTCTTTCTGAGATTGCAGACGGGCTGACTGGTCACTGCTGCAGCCAGAGGTGGAGGGAGGGTCATGCTCCGAGCTGTTGGACAACATGCTGTAGGCCAGGGATCCACTCGGAGGGGACAGACTCTGGGAGTTAGAGCTGAGAGGAGAAGGTACAATATTAGACAGAGTCGCCCACACGGCTCTGGTCTGTGCTGCACTGACTCATGTAGGCATGTGTATCAGCATGTGCAGCACCAGTCATGTGGAACTCATATTACTGTAACAAACCAACACCAGAGAAAAGCTTTCAGAAGCAACACTTATTCTTTGACTAATTTCTCATGTCCTCATTTTAACCGACCCATCTCAAGGACTATAAACATAGAAACTGGCATAGACTGAGTGTCAGGTATCCACTATCAATATATATGTATATTATGTAGTAAGACAAGAACATATTTTCTATCATAGAGAAGAATAAGGCGTGTGTTTCTCTATGCTAGTTAGTGGTCTTGTACCTTTTGTGGCTGTCAGTGGTCTCGAGCATCATGCCAGAGTCCTTTCCGTTGGAGCTGTGTGAGCTGCGGATGGACTGGCGGCCGCGGGAACTGTTCTCCCGCTCCAGGCCACCTTCACTCTCTCGCTCCCCAGAGTCATTTCCACTTGACAGTCCGTCCATGTCATCAGAGTTGGGACCCCTCCCGTCTCCGGACGAGCCCCCTGAACCAGAGGCTCCACTGGGAGAAGAGGAGCATCCCTCAGAGCCATTCCTCTGCTGCTGTTTGGAGCTGGCTCCAGACTGAGCGCTTGTGGAGACGTCTAATCTGTCAGGATGCACTTCCTGCTCAAAGTCCTTCTCCTCGGCCCGTGCCACTCTGCTGCGAGTGCTTCTGCTGGCCCCTGTTTTAGAGTTGTCATAACTCATACTAGAGTAGGATAAAGCAAGGAATTTAAATGTCTCAGCCAAGGCAACGGAATTACACTTAAGTAGGACTACTACATATACTTGGATGAATCATATTTTCTTGCTGTGTTGTTAAAAGAACTATGGCGAGAAATCCATTGGTCTTGCAAAAACGTGAAACTGAGAAGAGATTGTTGCAAATGCTGTAATCAAGAATGCTTGCCAATTCTTGTGAATAAAGCAAAAAAAATCAACAAGTGCGTTTTCAGTCTGCGCCCATCAAATATGGTCTGAAGCAGCCTTGGCACAAGAGCTCCAGCAGATGGGCCGAAACAAACAGGAGGCCTCACTCTGGGTGTGAGCGTCTGCGTCTTCGATTCTCTACAGCAAAAACTGTGAACAGAGAAGACAGAGAAGAAGAGGGTCAGAAATTACAGGGTAGCTTTCAAAAACAGATTACTTATCGTCTTGACCTTCAGAGTGTTTAAGGGAATGAAATGCTTTAAGAAGCAATCTTAAATGGTTAAATCTTATCTGAAAGAATTGCCCTATTTTATGCATTTTTCAGTCATAGCTTAGTGACCCTGGACACAATTAACCCCCAAATCTATGCCGCATGTGGCTGGAGTGTGTACTAAAGTTTATAAGTAGCCACCACCTACGCACGTTGTAGCCTAGTGCCATTTATTTCAAGAAGAAAGACACCCCATAATCCCTTAAGTCCTGGCAGACCGCTAAGAAGACAGAGAAGAACATCTCTTTGCCGTCACTACTATAGTTTTAGATAGTTTAATGCACAAATCTGTCCTATAGCCCCATTTACCAGCTGAGCATCAAAACAGGTAGACCTATAAATTGATAAACTCCAGTCGTGATGTAACAGCAGAGTTGACAGGTTCAGAGTTCTAAGCAAACGAATGATGGAGCAGTCAAACATAATCTGATTCATGTTATTCTGAATGCTAATAAGAATTATGTTCAGCCAGCTGGGCAGTGCAGGCAGACACATGTAGAGTGTATCTCGAAGGGTCTTATCGAGGCGAGGGAAGGAGCAGTCATAATCTGGGAATGTGTGAGAGGCATTAGCAAGTGCAGGGTAGAAGAGACTAGCATCCATGCACACTTCCACAGAGACAGAGGACCGGTGGGTGGAGTGGCTGCTGCCACAAAAGGCTGCTCATCATGCTTGGCTGTTTCAAACCTAACCGACCCAAACCCAGGTGAATTAGGAAAAGGCCTGAGTTTGCATCTGGCAGCAATAGAATATTAGCTTTGCAGCTAAAATATAACATTTACAGAAATGTGTGTGTGTTTGTTTGTGCTATAGGTGCATGTTGATCACAAGGCAGCCAACACAAGGGACAACAAAGTCTTGTCCACTCAAAAGCCCCCATCAGCCGTCCACCTACAGTCCTATACAGATGCCAGACTCCCTCTGACGGATACTGTCACTGTACTGTCACAGTCACACAGAACTCTAAGCATTTATTAATTATTATATTATATTTATTAACAAAACTTACAGAAAGAGGTGTGGCTGTTGATTAAGCTATCTTGAGTCAAAAATACTTCATTCATAGAAAAGGCTGAAGGCCAGGTCAGTACCTGGTTTAGTTGCCCTTAGTCAGATTATTAGAAATGGAGAAAGCATGTGGTGGTCTTTCAGATGCTGAGTAAGAAGAGTCCCCTGGGACGTTGTGAGGATTCATCTGCTTGTCAACAGACGACATTCCACTATTATAGCAGAGATTACTTATGGGAATTAGAAATGGTGACGAGCTTTCAAAGTATCCAACATGGCACATTTGTTTAAGCACATGTCTACACTAACTTGATTGAAAAAAATGGCAGCGTCAGATTTATGGCCTGGCTTTGTTTCCACTCTCACTATCACAGCACTGATAGAAAGCCAGTTGATTTGATTGAAAGCTATCTAGAATTACAAAACTAAAACAATAATCATGCGACCAAGTCGATCATAGTCATTGCAGCACAGCTGAAAAGTAATGCAATGAGGTAGAAATGTAATAATGCCACTAATGCACATGCCAAGTACTGCAGAACATTTTATTAAGCAGCAAAAGGAGTGGCAGGACATGAGACTGTAGAACTCCTTTCAACTCTAGAATGGAGTTGTACGGTTATGTCATAGTTATACTGCAATAGATAAGTATTTCAAATATGCAATGATAGATGATAGTCCTGCATCATCTTTTTCAGGCCTAGGATCTAACGCAGTGTGGGACGTGGGTGTTGGAAAGATAATCAAACACATTGATTTAACACAAACAAAAGGTCAGAACTTTGAAGTATGTCGCACATGAGCTCTCAATTCATTCAGACATCACTGCAGTAATAGAAATCCTGAACCAGAAACACGTGTAAAAGCATACTTGTTTTAATGAACCGTAAGCACGGCTCGTTTTCTGATAACGACAATTATCCTGTGTTATGTTAAAATAGTGCTCACCAGTTGTGCGTGTGTTGCCGCAGATCCTCGCAGTTGTCCTGCTACATCAGTGGACATCTGTCCTACACATAGGCCCTACCCAGAACATCCACACACGTGTACGCGGCACTGCTCTCGGCTGCAGAGCCGGCCGCTCATTGGTCGAGGCGCTGCACCAATAGGAAGGCGGAGGTTGTCCGCATGCGCTGTGCAGACTGCAGCAGACACACGTACCATGCGTGTGCAGCCACTGCCCCCAGCTTTTAACTCTGAGTCTGCGTGAGCTCGACACATTCACTTTGAGCATACACACAAGTAAAAGTCGCACTGCCGCACTGTGTAACCTCTCGACCTCACTAATAACCTGCTAATTATTGATATGTGTATGCATAAAAACAAAAACAACACTACATGATTGTTTGAAACAACAGAAAGTCGTGTTGTCGGCGCACCCAGAAACCGAAATGTGATGCAGAGCTGATGACCTTTGAGATATGGCCCCTCACTGTCAATGCGCTCAGATGAAGTGAATTGTTTAGATTCTCGACAATGAGTTTTTAATGCGCCTGATTTGACATCGTGATGTGGAAACTCAGCCCACTAGTCTGCAGCTGCATGCTTTCGGTTGAAGTGAATAGTCAAATTAAGCAGCTCGTCAATAAGGAATAATCAATAATAACAACAACAGCTAAAGTTGTTGTGGTAGCACTAACCGAGTCGTGAGTGAAATCATAAATAGCAACAGGTCGTGAATGGCTTCGTTTCTTTGCAGAGAGAGACCGCAGGAGCCTCATCAGTGAGAACATGTCCAAGAGTACTCCTGAACTGGATTAATTATTATTATGGATAATTACAGTCATCTGCTCATTATTATTACTATCAAGAGCAATATTTTAGGATGGAGAAAGAGCACAAGACACCACACGATGGCGAGTAAGTAAAAGGTTCAAATGAATCGTGCAAGCTGGCCTTAGCTGAATGGATGGTCAGGTCAGTAACAACCTATAAAGGAGCGTTTTGAGCCCTATTTGTTACATTTGCTTAATTTCTGTTGACTTGCGGTGACAATGATCGTACAGTAATTGTCCACCGTGCAGTCGTCCTAATCCTCCATGTTGAGTTGCTTCATTACGGACAAGTGAACAAAAGGTTAACGAGTGCAATCCATCCACGTCGGTGAGTAAATGTATGTTCAACATCGAATAATGACCCCAATCATCGCCGATCTCAACAATAAAACATATTTGAAAATAAATGACATGCAACACCACAATCAAATGTGACTCCAGTCAACTCACGTTAACATGCTAGCTACTTTAGCATCGACAACAAGAACAAGCTCGGTGTATAAAATCACTGCTTACCTGAGAATGCTTGACGAAGAAAGGCTCAAATATGATTTTACTCGACATAAAATGCGGATAAGAAGAGAACGAGCCGCGCTGAATCCATAGACATCCACCGTCTCTGTTCGATAGCGATGTACTGCTGTTCTTTCCCCAACAGTGTACACGCAGGGATACACGTGCACGTGTATGGACTCAGGAATACACCCCGCTGATTGGTCCGTCCGTGTTCTAGACCGCGCCCCGTCACGCCCCACTGTGCGCTGATTGGTTGGAGTGAAATTGCACGGGGCCCAAGCATCACGTTGTACAGTGTATGGAGCCGAGTCCACCTCTACTCTCTGGAACATGAGGGCGTAGTCTGCAGAAAGCGAGGCCGTAGTGTCTGCTGTAGAGACGCACGACTATTTACTCAAATCATTCTTCACAACGTCACACATTTCAGGTGCATTGAAATGGCGTGCATGTATTTGTTAACCTGTAAGATGAACTGACTTTCAGTGTGGTATGGACTCTAGTATGTTCCTGTTATTGTGGTGATGGACTTATGGTGTTTGCGCTGGTGAAGTCAATGTTGATAACATGGCCAATGACTGATACACACACACACACACCATAATAACACATCTGATAACAATAAAACATAGTGAGAACATGCATTACTTTTCAGCTGCACGTTTTAAGGTAACTTCAAAATTGCAACTGAGCTTTACTGTAAATCCGTGACTTGTTTCACATATATGTATTTTTCAGACAGACACGTGAAAAATAAGGATCCAACCTCCCTGTTTTCTAGTAAGATGAAGACATCGTGCTGAAGTTTTAAATTTACAAAACGCTTTCTGTTATTTATGAAAAAAAGTTAGGTGGACCCATCTTTAACATCTTTATATCTAGCAGGATTTCTATCTATTTTTAAAACTTGATATTATAAAAAACGATTTTGCAGAAACCCAATGAAACATTCCCATCCACCTAGGCTCAAGACACAACATAAACACATGGGTGGTGCGCATGTTGTTTAATTGGCATTGCGACTATACAGTAGTATTTACGGTAGCTCTGAGCACTTGTCTGCAACGTGCCTTTTGGAGTGACGCCCCATGTCCCAAACCGCACGCGGCTGAAGGGATGGGCGCTGAGGCCGTAAACACAGCCGCAGATGTAGGTCACATGTGTAGCTGACTGACAGTTTCAGAATGATGCGAAATTATGTATAGGAATGTGACCATAGTGATAAACAATTAAGAATAAATAACATACAGACCATATCTGTACATAGAGCGCACATAATATCAAGCATAGCCACAGCTATTGTCTTAAAATGTCTATTGATTTAGGTTAAAATCCTCAGAATTATATATAAAGTATACATACAACATTCAACAATAACAGATTACATGAATGAGTGAGGGGGTTGGAAGTAAAAGTGTCTGCTTCATCCAACCCTTTTCAAAATATGCATGTATGCCACAGATTGTAATATGTATGCATGTGCACGTATGGGACATTCTGTTCAGTAAATGTGTTGTACATGTCCTAATGAAATCAACATCTTGATCGACTGAACAGCATGGGTATTTACTGTGAGGCACATCGTTAACACACTTGTGATTTACCGGTTACAATGGGTCAAAAAAGTATTTAGTCAGGCACCGATTGTGCAAGTTCTCCCACTTAAAATAATGACAGAGGTCTGTAATCTTCATCATAGGTACACTTCAACTGTGAGAGACAGAATGTGAAAAAAAATCCAGGAATTCACATTGTAGGATTTTTAAAGAATGTATTTGTAAATTATGGTGGAAAATAGGTATTTGGTCAATAACAAAAATTCAACTCAGTACTTTGTAATATAACCTTTGTTGGCAATAACAGAGGTCAAACGATTACTATAGGTCTTTACCAGGTTTGCACACACAGTAGCTGGTATTTTGGCCCATTCCTCCATGCAGATCTTCGAGAGCAGTGATGTTTTGGGGCTGTCGCCGATCAACACGGACTTTCAATGGGGTTGAGGTCTGGAGACTGGCTAGGCCACTCCAGGACTTTCAAATGCTTCTTACGGAGCCACTCCTTCGTTGCCCGGGCGGTGTGTTTGGGATCTTTGTCATGCTGGAAGACCCAGCCACATTTCCTCTTCAAAGCTCTCACTGATGGAAGGAGGTTTTGGCTCAAAATCTCACGATACATGGCCCCATTCATTCTTTCCTTAACACGGATCAGTCGTCCTGTCCCCTTAGCAGAAAAACAGCCCCAAAGCATGACGTTTCCACCCCCATGCTTCACAGTAGGTATGTTGTTCTTGGGATGCAACTCAGTATTCTTCTTCCTCCAAACACGACGAGTTGAGTTTATACCAAACAGTTCTACTTTGGTTTCATCTGACCACATGACATTCTCCCAATCCTCTGCTGTATCATCCATGTGCTCTCTGGCAAACTTCAGACGGGCCTGGACATGCACTGGCTTCAGCAGGGGGACACGTCTGGCACTGCAGGATTTGATTCCCTGTCGTCGTAGTGTGTTACTGATGGAAACCTTTGTTACTTTGGTCCCAGCTCTCTGCAGATCATTCACCAGGTCCCCCCGTGTGGTTCTGGGATTTTTGATCACCGTTCTCATGATCATTTGGACCCCACGGGATGAGATCTTGCGTGGATCCCCAGATCGAGAGAGATTATCAGTGGTCTTGTAGGTCTTCCATTTTCTGATAATTGTTCCCACAGTTGATTTGTTCACACCAAGCTGCTTGCCTCTTGTAGATTAACTCTTCCCAGTCTGGTGCAGGTCTACAATTCTTATCCTGGTGTCCTTTGACAGCTCTTTTGTCTTGGCCATAGTAGAGTTTGGAGTCTGACTGTTTGAGGCTGTGAACAGGTGCCATTAATACAGGTAACAAGTGGAGGACAGAAGAACTTTTTGAAGAAGTTACAGGTCTGTGAAAGCCAGAGATCTTCTTTGTTTGAAGTGACCAAATACTTATTTTCCACAATTTACAAATGAATTCCTGGATTTTTTTTGACATTCTGTCTCTCACAGTTAAATTGTACCTATGATGAAAATTACAGACCTCTGTCATTATTTTAAGTGGGAAAACTTGCACAATCAGTGGCTGACTAAATACTTTTTTGCCCCACTGTAATTTGCACACATCAAATTACCCATAGCTATTAAAGTACTGTAATTGCAGGACACGTTTCTGGAACAGGAGAGTTTTTACTGTAACTGTACAATATTGTTATAATACAGATGTGTGTCCACGATGAAAACAATTCACCCTCTCTCCAGATAACAGAATCTTTATTTGTTCCATAGTGGGGAAATTTCAATGTTGCAGTGCACATACAGGACAGTTATAGAGCAGACCAAATATCAGAATCATTTTTATTGCCATTTAATTCACAGACTAGGAAATTGCTTTGGCTCTCGGTACATCAGTCAGAAAAGAGAGGTAAAGAATAGAGAATAGAGTAAGGCATACTTACAGTATATACAATTTAAGTAGCGGGTCAGGGCCTGAGTTTGACACATGTTCTAAGCAGTTCACACACAGGTTTGGATTACATGGAAAGTCTCTGGAGATGACCCTAACCCGGTGGAAAGCATTGTGACCGCTTGAACAATGCTTCTGCTGCAAACTTTCCTGTGTTGGCCAATCAGAGATTAGCACCACTGACAGTCAAACCAGGAGGAAAAGGAAAACACTCGAGAGAGCCCTTTTGTTGAGTCAAGCCTAAGACACACCAGTGCAGTTTTCATGCTGTCTAATCAGCATCTTGACATCTCACATTTGAGGTGTGAAAGATTATCTTGACAGATTTAAACAGACGTGTGAACTAAATGAGAGAAGGGTATTTAGCTTATGAAAAATGGGAGCAAGTGTTCCGTTTATTTTTGTTATTGATGTTTATGTCAGTAACGACTCAAAACCTTGGGATTGAATAAATGCATTGCGCACCTTTAAATATAAATATATAGTTGCATTTATTCAGGTAAATGTATCATGCTATTGAAAAATAAAAATGAACCACCATTCAGTCAATTCTGTTGTTGTGTTTGTGAAGCCCCAGGACCATTGTCAGTGACAACAAAGTAATTCCTTCCTTTAAGTGGAATAGATGAAAGTACAGGCACGACTGGAGTCGAAGCGATCCCTATAACAAGAACACAGAACAGGATTTTACACGCCTAGTTTCCAGTCTATTGGTTCCCCCTAGTGGGAAGATGGATTAATAGCAACAAAAAAGAAAACTACAGAAATGGTACCTGACGATGCGCAGTTTCTCAAAGACTCCAATAAGTTGGTGCTTGAAAACGTTACAACGCATTTGAAGGGCTCTTTACTTTGTGCCATGTTTTTTGATTGCCCTCGGAATTTAGTCTCCAGCTTGACGAATAATCAAAGTTACAATTAAACTCAGATTATATGTTGAGAAAATAACACTGATCATTACAAGTACCCTGTAAACGGCAGACTGTATTTCAGGTAACTTTCCTTCACCAAATGCTTCACAGGCCAATTGAAGTCGGTTTGAAGACGACGCTGACTGTTCTCGTTCAATCAGAGGGTCTGTGATATGGAAAAGAAAAATCTGTAAAAAAATGATTCCATATCATCCAAGAGTTAACAATCAAAGTATGTACTGTTGGCTTTTTCTTTGTCCTCTGTTCTTTCTGGAATGTGGCTGGGAAACTTTGATGGAAACACCTTAAAAGAAAACATAAAAGCTAAAGAAATCTGAACAAATTGAATGAACAGAAATACTCAAACATTTAGTTCCTTACCTGCTCATATTGTTTCATGAGCAAATCCCGGATACCATGGAGCTTGCGTCCACTGAGATTTGCATGTTTTATTGATTGGTATCTAGTGGCAAGAACCAACGCCTGAAAAACAAAGAAACAATCAAACAAATCTTTTTTTAAAGGCAAAGGCTTAAATGGTGATTATCTTTGTTACTTTACCTGGTATAACAACGGCTTCTTTTTTGAATTTACATTGTTCATGAAGACGTAGGAAGATTGTAGATGGTGAACTACAAATGTTGGAGTAAAATGATTGGGTTTGGAAAAACTTTCACCCCATGCGAGCCGGATCCATATCGCTTCATCTGTGTGTTTTTTAAATTTGATAGACACCTGGGGGGGAAAAAATAATAATAAAATGAAGTCACTCAATACATGTTTTAACATCTGCATGCAAATGAGACACATACTCACATTTTGCACAAGTTTATTGAGGTTGGATTTAAATTGTTCCTTAAACTGCATCATTTCAACCATGAGGGCATCATCTTGAGAATATAAAGAGACACATTATATTATCTTGGTTAAATACAAATAAAATAGTAGCAAAGTATCATTTAACCCTTTCAGCACCAAAATAGCATACTTACTGCAATTCAGGACAGCATATAAACAACAACCTGGGTTTCTTTTATTGTTATGTGTAGCTCTGCATTTAACTGAATGATTGCATGTTCACTCCCTTTAACATACTGTGCTTATTTATAATCTAATTGCGTTGTATGATTGTTGCAGATGTTGTTATGTTAAGCAATTTGGGTTGTAATTTGAGCGTATGAACTGTGCTATACAAATAAACTCGCCTTAATAAACAGTGGACTCACTCCTTCACTGTATCCAACAGATCAGTGAGTGGATGCAAAACAACTTCCTTCAGCTAAACGCAGACAAAACTGAAATGATTGTCTTTGGTCCCCAGAAACAAAGAGAGATCATTTGTCACCTACAGTCTCTCTCCCTAAAACCTTCAAACAAGGTCAGAAATCTAGGGGTAATACTGGACTCAGACTTAAATTTTAATAGCCACATCAAATCAGTAACATCAGCAGCTTTTTACCATCTCAAAAACTTTGTCAGGATCAAAAACATAGTGTCTAAAGCAGACTTGGAGATTCTTATCTATGCATTTGTCTCCAGTAGGTTAGACTACTGCAATGGCCTGCTCACAGGTCTGTCCAAACAGGCTGTAAAACAGCTGCAGTACATTCAAAATGCAGCAGCTCGAGTCCTGACTAGAACCAGGAAGTACGACCACATTAGTCCAGTCCTCAGGTCCCTGCACTGGCTTCCTGTGGCTCAGAGAATAGACTTTAAAACAGCTCTGCTTGTGTACAAATCTCTCCATGGCCTAGCACCAAAATATATTAGTGACATGTTAGTACCATACGAACCAGCCTGGACTCTGAGGAGCACAGGGACTGGACTCCTGTTAGTGTCCAGAGTCAGAACTAAACATGGGGAGAATGCTTTTCAGATTCATGCTGCTAAAATCTGGAACCCTCTTCCTGAAGATGTGAGACAGGCCTCCTCAATGACAATGTTTAAAACTAGGTTAAAAAAAGTTCTATTTAGCTGTGCATACAACTAAGGGATTTTATATTTTAGCTTTCTTTTTAATGTTCTGTGATTATTTATGATTTTAATGCTTTCATGTTTTGTTCAGCACTTTAAATTGCCTTGTATATGAATTGCGCTATATAAATAAACTAGCCTTGACTTGCCATGCTCATTCATTTCTGTCATTGTTTTTAATACCCTTCCATCGCTCAACTGGTTGGGCTTTTCATGTAAGATATCTACGCTGGCGCCTAAAGGGTTAAAATAAAGCACAAAATACCTTCTGGGTCAACGAGTTGGAAGGCATGCCACAGTCCAACATTTGGATTGTCAATTACGTCTAAGAAAAAAAATATTATTATTTTTTTATTTTTACAAATTATGACAACAGATGAGAGAAGGCATTCACTTGTACTTACACAACAACTCCAATTCTGTGATGTGTTTAGTGCCCCAGCCCTTTTCCTGCAATAAACAAAACAAAGGTTCTAAAACAGCATCAATGGATAGCGTTAAATCAAAGGTGATGTGACCGTAAAGCCACAGCAGCAAACAGACTAACAAAGGGTGAAATATACCTGGCAAATGGAGAGAAGATGTTCTGTTATTGCGATCTTTGGCAGGCTGAAATCGATGGACCCCAGCTGCTTCTGTTGTAAACGACCCCATTTCTCAAGCATAGGGCGAAGCATTTGACTCGGGATCCGTCGAACAATCCTCTGCAGTAAACGCCGCGTAACATCGTCCATTTCCGCCTAGTCATCAAGCTCTTGATTTCATAAAGCGTTCACAATTGTCACTTTAATGTAAATATAGGGTATACGGTGGTATACAGAGGTTGTTTGGCAGTGTTTTGACGTTGGTCGCGGTGCTAGCAAGAATGCTCCAAACAAACCAACCGCGCTACGAACGGACCAATCACAGACGAGCGGAAGTGAAAGCGCACACGACCTATAGCGCCTCTTGTGGTGGTGGAGGAGTAATGCACTGTTTGCCAAAGGGACAATCATGTTTTTATTTTTGTCTCTGTTAATATAGGCATTTGTCTTGTGTGTAAGTATTTCTTCAATACTATTATTCAGTATATTCAGATTCAGACTCAGATTCAGACAACTTTATTTATCCCACCAGCGGCAATTCATTTGAGCAGCACATGACATAAAAAATAAATAATAAAAAAATAACACAGGTAATAAGTGATATGACATGAAGTGGAGTCCCATACAAACATATGAACGTAGTACAACATCATAGCTCAATCATCAAAGTCCACATCCAGCTGCAGAGAGTTCATCAGTCTAATAGCAGTTGGGACAAAAGATTTTAAATGACGATTGGTTTTACAATCAACATAATGTCGTCCTGATGCAAGCAAAGTGAACTCATCATTCAAAACATGATCAAACGTATACTATAAAGTATACTATTCAGTACTATTTATTGTAGTATTTATCGTATAGTATTTATAGTATTGTAGTATTTATATATGTGTATTAGCAAGTAGTAGTGAGAAAAAGTGGAAACAACTATTGCAGAGTTCAAGAGCTGATGACATCTCTAGAGAGAGGTTTTGTGCACCTATACACATTCTGTATATTATTTGAATTCATATTGTTGTGAACTTGTAGAGAATATTTAGTACAAATCAAACATGCTGTCTCCATCTTATTAGAAACCATGTATTTTACATACTTGTGAGAATGAGCCCTGTGAGCATATGCCTGTGAGTCACTACTCATCGGCTGAGAGCTGATTGGCTGAGGGTGGTCCTCTCTTTTCCACATTTCTGTCTGAGCAACCAGATCACAAGGTGTACCAGAGGTCGAAACTGCATGCACGTCAATATAGTGTGAGAGAGAAATTAGGTTTTTGTTGTTTTGAAAGTCAAGCACCCCAGCTATAAACCATCACCCCCTGCTAAAAACGATCATACCACAAATGCGGAAGTACGCATGCTAGACTCATCTTGTCCCTCGGCTCTTTGCTGGAGGCTTGGACCTTCTTCGAAAACCTGGGCGGGTCTAGTCCTGAGTTTATGGGATCGATGCGGAAATACGTCCCTGTCAGCCTGTCATTCACTGATCTATGTTGTCATCCAGAGAAGTCCCTCCTTTGCCTTGAGTTTGACCTGTTGGAGAGCATCCATCGGTGGGACCTCACTCCACTCAACAGCCCCTGGTACTTCCATGGCCAACTCCACCGCCGTGTCGCGTAAGTCCACTTTCATTTTATGCAGCTATTTTCCCGAGATCAAAATATTCTTAAACACGAAAAGTGAATTTCGGTGATTGTTTGATTGTTGCATTGGTTTAGAACAGAACACACAAATACACACGCTGCCCTTTGTGAAAGCTTTTAACAACTTTTTGTATAGCATGGCCATTCCAGGAAATAATTGTCAACCTTTTATGGAGATCAATTGGTTTGCAGGACTACATAATATTATATAACATAAGATACACTTGGAAACTTGTAATGCTTGGATCGTTAATGTGTTGCCATGTCTAGATGTATAGCTTTGCAGACCATGGATCTAGGACCAGGTGCAGACTGGAACAAGCAGAAAGACTATTGCTGGTCTGTTCCCATTTTCCACAGAGGCCAGGGGATTCTGGAGCTTGCATGTGGCTCAACTTATTACTCCTGATCTAATTAAAGACCGCTTTCTCTATTTCAATTCACCTCAGAGATACAACACACACTGACACTGTCTCTATAACACAGTAGTCGTATGTTTGATTTGTTTTATGGCTATGTCAAGTCTTCACAGCAGCAGTAGTAGCCTAAAGGCTATAAGTTTTCAACCAGTACGTGGCTCTCATTCCTGCAGTTCACACGACAGAAAAGGTTGTGTAATTACAGATGGTAAATGTTGATTTGAAATCGTTGGGCGGAGTCAGTGAATAGAAAAGGAGTGTGAAATTAACCAACATTGGAAATTACTTTGATATTATGCAACTAGTAAAAATGAATAGGCCTACAGTTTTTTTTACAGTTTCTTTCTTTTTAAATGCATGTCATGTAAGTCACCTGCATTGGCTAAAGTTGGTGCTTCATTCTTGTGAAAAATTAAAGTAGCATTCTAATACTACGCACTTTTATTGACGATTGATGATAAAGAATAATAATTACAATGTACCCGAACTTTTTGGACACTCAAATACATTGCATTATTCAAACAAGACTAATCTTATCTCCAGAAAGTCCTCAACGCCCTCATCTTCTCCCACCTTGATTACTGCAACTCCCTCCTCTCCGGACTCGACTCCAAATCCCTCTCCCGCCTCCAACTGTTTCAGAACGCAGCAGCCCTACTTCTCACTGGTTTTAACAGAAGGGAGCACATCACCCTTGTTTTAGCGTCCCCCCCACTGGCTCCATGTGTGTTTTAGAATAGATTTTTAAGATTTGACTGATTGCTTTTTAAGCTTGTTAAGTAGTAATCTTTATTTATATACCACCTTTCACAGACCAGAGTCACAAAGCGGTTTACAATTGTGGGCATTTGTCTCTCACTCCACACAGAGATGGGAACGGGGCCAGTACAGGAGGCGCATGCCAGATCTATTGTATATGTTTTTAGTGGTTAGGGAAACCGAAGTACCCGAAGGAAACCTACACAGACACGGGGAGAACATGCAAACTCCACTCAGAAAGGCCCTGTTCCACCGGGATTTGAACCCAGGACCTTCTTGCTGAGAAGCGAGAGTGATTTAAAAGTATCCTCTTTTAAATCACTTCTTAAAACCCACTTTTATCTAACAGCTTTTTAACTGTTTTAGACTTCACGTTGTATTTTACTGTCTTTATTTAGTCTTTCTTCTTGTGTTTCCTCTGTCTGCTTTGTCTTCCTGCATCTACTGTTTATTATTTTGAATTTGTATTATTATGACAGATAGATAGATACTTTACTTTAGGTTTGTCTGGTCTCATATAGTCTGACAAGTGCCAGACAAATAACGTTTCATTAGTATTATTATTATTATAAGCTATCAGCCGAATCAATGGTGTCTTGCCTAAGAACAGCATTTTAGCTCGGCATCCTCAGCTGTCGCACTTTGGCACCTGGTATTCCAGGCTGTCTCCCATCCCAGTACCCAGACTCTGCCCAGCTTAGATGCTGAGTTGGGGTTTTACGACAAGTTCACTCTTTGTCTGCAAATATCCTCATACTTTGCTCAATCAAACAATCTTTTTGATTGGTGTATCTTTGTTTTTGGGAAGAGGGAACAAGCACATCCTTCTTTTGTCCGTGTAGTACAACCATAGACTGTAAATATTAATATTAAATACAACGAGTGGACACCAACTGCACAAACAAGTTACTTCTCTCCAAACATCACATGGAAACAATCTATGTCTTAAGTACAGTCTTTGCTAACTTCTAATGGCTACATTTGGACCAGGACTTAGATAACAATTAAACAAATCAGTGCATTTATTTTGTTATTGTTGCTGGAAAGATTGAAATGATTTGGTGAAAGCGGCAGCACAACCGCTGATAACCCGCAGGCCGACCGAGCGATGAAGCCAAATCCTTTAAGACAGCAGGAAAAGACTCTCATCATACGATAACCCACACTTATCAAGCTGAGCCAAACTCTGCAATTTATTTCAAGAATATAAATTGACACAGTGTAAAAATACCTTCACCTTATTTGGGGGATCGATAAACAACAGGCTGTTGGCTGCATGCACTCAGCAGAGAGGGAAGAGCAGCAATGAAAAGAGCATAAACATGTCAGGTTTTTACCCCGAGGTGATATTTTTCAACCATTCCGACATTGATGGAAGCACAAATGTATGGTTGACAGGTTAACAGTGTAATGTCATAGATGAGGCTGATACCTGCTGTTAGCATTGTTTGAAGACAGGCGGTTTAATGGGAAAATAACATGCGTAAAGAAAAAAAAGAACAAACCATACATATTCATAGAAGTGGTGTCATCTCTCCGCAGATCTGACCTGTCATTGTCTCCATTAAAAGCTTTTACATTTAAGAAAAATCTTATATAGCGTCAAGCCAGGAAGAGACAAAATGCATTACATAGAAACAATCAATATTTACATTCATACCAATAACCAATAATAGAAAGAAGGAAGGGGAGGGGAGATTATATTATTTTTGGGTGTATCATAGACATTGTGTGTGTGTGTCTCCATTGACAAGCTATAGTTAAATTCTAATGCTAAATATTGTACATTCCAGGTAGATCATTAGCAATTTCATGGAGACAGTTGACCTTTAAAAACCTATATTGATTGAGTATTTTGAAAACATTTATCAGCCGACAAAAAAATACATGTCAAGCCAGTGTTTATAGAATTAGTGCGAACAGAACTACTATAATAGGAGCTGCTGTTTACAGTAGTACACTTTCCCACCTCTGCTGCTTAACATATTATTATAACAATCCAAATACGACTTCAGTTCTCCAGAGCAGTTTGACGCATGTTCATGAGTTACCTTGTCTTCATTCATGCCTTGTTTAAACAAATGGACAGAGCGGTCACAGGGCGGTCAGCGACTGGACAATGGCCTGTCTCAGTCTATTACACTGGAGACAAAAGCGCTGCACTTCCCCATGTGCATGTGGGCATTAGCGGGCTTCTAGCCACAGAGTGCAGTCAGAGAATCAGCCTGGATCTTTGGATATGCAACAAATATAACAGTGATTTTCCAAAATTCACATTTTTGTGTGTGAATCTTTCATTAATCTTGGAAAGGGGTTGACAAAGGGTCGCTTGTACTGTATGTGGTGGTGGAATGTGACCCTCGGTTCAGGAGCTGGGTGACCGACAGCCTAATGCACATTCAAATATTGGTTTTCCTCCCAATCACATGCCACATATTCTACATTTTTGCCAATACAGCTGCAAATAGGAAGAAACAGAAAGATCGATAAAATAAATGCTTCATTAAAGGAATAGGCCACCGTTTTTACATACTGACATATGTTCTTACCTTACCTTAGACTAGTTGATATGTACCTGTCTGGTCTTTGTCCATGCGCTCTGTCATGCAAACGGAGCACAAACGCAGCCTCTTCCACAGACTGTATAGTAACAAATCAGCTCCCGTTAGAAGCTACCAAACTCTTCCAAGTGTTCCCTATTTAAATACAGTTACGTGACGTGTTACACTACAAAGTATAGTAACACAGAAATGTAACATGTCGATTTTCTCAGCGGATAAAAAGGGGAACTATATTGTGAGGCGTAATAATACGAGGAGCACTACGTACGCGCACTAACTCCTAAAGACTTCTCTCCCGCTCACTTCCGTCAATAGAAGCAGCGTGACTTGTGGTACGCACAGGAGTTAGTGCGCAGACGTAGCGCTCCTCGTATTATTACGCCTCACAATATAGTACCACCCCTTTTTATCCGCTGAGAAAATCGACATGTTACATTTCTGTGTTACAGTTACGTGACGTGTTACACTACAAAGTATAGTATTTAAATAGGGAACGAGTGGAAGAGTTTGGAAGCTTCTAACGGGAGCTGATTTGTTACTATACAGTCTGTGGAAGAGGCTGCGTTTGTGCTCCGTTTGCATGACAGAGCGCACGGACAAAGACCAGACAGGTACAGTACAACTATTCTAAGGTAAGGTAAGGACATTCCTTTAAATGACTCATCTCAACAATGTCTCAACAATAACATTCCTACAGTTCGGTGATTGTGGCATTGAACAAAAATACACACACTATATTATTAAAGTGGGAAAAAGAGTATTAAGATATGTTGACGATATATTTCACTGCAGGCTTTTGCAAATGTATTCCAATGTGGTTTCACTGCAAATGGCAAATTAAATGAATCTGATCTATAGGGCGAGCCCAGGGGTGTCCAAACATTTTAGTAAGAGGGCCACTTAAGTTTACCAGACTTGTCCAGTGGTCAGAAACTCTGATTGAGAAACTGTTTTGCCTGGTAGACTTCTTTGGTCAACTGTCCACCTTGTATTGTTCTTCAGTAGACTTCAGTGACTCTCATTGACATATTCATTCATTCATAATGGAATTTAAACCGATAAATCCATTCGTTACAGTGCTTCAGAATACTTTCTCTGCTCTCTCTCCCAAAAAAAAAAAAAAGAATCCGTCTGTCAGTGAATTGTTGCTTTGGGTTTGTATATTCCCAGTGGCAAAGTCAAATCAGCTGCGGCCACATGAAGCCCTGTCTGTTTTCACCTTGGATACAGCACAGTGAAGCGTGAATGTACAAAAAAAAGCCATATTTCCTTCTCTCTGTTGAGTCAGTGAATCTCCCTTAAGCCAATGTCAAATGGGTCCAAAGTCTGAGTGGGTGGGAGAGGACTATACACTTTTATTGTGGGTAATTTAGGTTTTTCTACAATAATTCTCTACCTCATCCTTCAACTGCTCCATGAATCGCTCATGACTCATGGATTGGTAAATAAGACTCGTCAACACACAATCAGAAGGAGTACGCAAGGTCTCTGCTCATACACACGTTTTGTTGTTGTTGCGAAAACTGGTCATTTCTGAGAACAAAATGTAATCATGGTGATCTGTTTGAAGACATGCAGAGTGTGAAGGCGAGTAGGGGTTATCTGAAGGTGCCTGTGCAGTATCGGTATTGGTATATACTACACATACATTATGTAATTATTCTTCCAGGCAATTTGAGTAAACTGTTATAAAAATGAACAGTATGCACCAATATTAACACTGTTTATATAGCATGTCCCACAGTCAGGAAATTTCAGTTTTTCTGTAGTTTGAGAATGTCATGTATTTGCAATTAAATAATAAAGTATTAAGTAATAACAAATGATTTATTCATTCATACGTTTTCTCAAATCTTTACAAGCCACATCCAGCGCAGAGAAGGAAGACACAGACCACTGCAGACCATCAAAGACATTTTAAACTCGATTTAACAATTAGACAAAATCACGAGCTGCATTCCTGATCCAGAGAAAGCTGAAGGTTTGAAAATCCTTCAGCTGTTCGTAAATATCGCAACATGTATATCGTTTCAAAAATACACCACAAAAACAAAGAACACCTCTTTGGATATAGATTGACTGAAGTTTCATAGTTATTATAGTTCTAAAATGCAGAAAGAAATGTTTACGACCAACATGATTATCACAGGGAGGCCAAAACTAAAATGTCTTTGATTCAGTCATTCAATAATGTGCTCAAACATGCTTCTTAATGTGCTGAGTTTCACGTTTTACTTTTAAGGAAAAACAAACCATACTAATGTTTTATTTTTAACCTGGTGATCAGCAGTTCATTTCTTTGATTGTTGTATATCAAGTGTGAACAATATTTTTTTATTTGTAAGCCACATTTAAAACCAAAGTGAAACACAGCACAATAGATTTATATACAAAAAAAACAACAACGATAATCTCAAACAAAACAATAAAAAAATGAAAACTTGTCGCTTGCTTCCTGGTATTAAAAGCCAAAGAGAAAAGGTGCGTCTCAAGATAGGATTTAAAAAGCTCGAGTGATTGTGCAGTTCTAAAGTGCAAATGTAAAGACTAAAGGTAAAGGATTAAAGTTAATGCACCCCGTTTCCCACCTTCCCTGCTCTTACAAGACATTTCAATCGATTCAAAACAACTATGATCTAATATTGTCAAATCCTGATGGTGTTTTTAGCAGATGCGCCGACTGTGACTGTCAAGAACGATGGTGCCTCCAACGGCAGCAGCCACGACTTCACTGCCTTCGCCCTGGTGCCGACCTTCTTCCTCCTGGGTCTGACCGGAGTGGTCATCTGTCATGTGCTGAAGAGGAAGGGCTACCGCTGCACCACCGAGGCCGAAGACGAGGTCAAGCCTGAGGAGAACCACGAGCTGGACCTGGAGATGGGAGGTGAGAGAGGCCCCAAATATCCATATACTGTAGATAGACGGACAATGCCTCAGTGCTCAGGGGTGTCTAACCGGTCCTCAAACTGCAGAGTCTGGTGTGCCTGTGTCCTGCGTGGCTGGAATGTAAACCAGTAGCTACACTGGCCTTTCTGGAACTTGTTTGACACCTCTGCCTGAGCTCAATCACAATCAACAACACTACAGTCAGTTATGTGTAAAGTTTGACGGGCTAGAGCCGTGACCGGTTAGCAGAGGGTGATAACTTTTAGCAGAAGTTTGCGTGCGGATGATTCACCACCAGGTTTCATTCATGTGATGCAGGGGTCAGTCGTCATGCGCCTGGTTCTCCAGGGGCCCTCTGACCAGTCACTTCTCACTTCTATAGCAGATTGTAATCCCACTGCAGAGCTGTTAAAATATATATATTTACCTTTTCACTTTAGCTTCTGTCTTTCACTCAATAGACACTCTCAGGTCAGTGACATGCTAATGAGTTAGGAGAGGTGAGACCAGCACTCCACTTGAGCATCCCAGCAGACAATAGGTCTGTGACATGCTAAGGAGTTAGGGTCGTTAGCCTCAGCAGGGTCGTTAGACCTGCTCCCTTCTACATCAAGCAGACCTTAGATTGTTTATGAGTTAGTATCAGGATTAGGGTGTGGCTTACCACACCCATAGGTTATAAATCTCCAACGCGCGGTCCGAGAATTCATTCCCTGAAGAAGTCCGCTAGGTTGAGGACGAAACGTCGGGAAAACTTGCTAAGAAGTACAGATGATGGGTGAGAAACCTTCCTTTGCTATACACTCTCATGTTGTTAAATGTCCCTGTCCATAAATAAGGACAGTTTCCAAGCGTTCAAAGATAATCTGCATATAATTGAGGTATTATAATTATTAGCCTTTAGTCTACTTCTTCAACGTGACAAAGAAATTTGCAAAGAAAATGTTTGGATGATAAATATCTAGCCCCCTAATACAATTTTGTTTTGTTTATTGGATGAATAGAACTTGTAACATCGAGTAACATATTTTCTGTAAGATTGTGTACATGTGAAACAACAAAATTAGAATATTTCTCTAAATTAAAAAAAAAAATTTCCGAGTTTGACCTGTATTTGTGATCTCCCCAAACACAGAAAGTCAAACGCCGCTGACTTCCTTAAATCCACTTTGTTAATTATTTCACCACCTGCAGTAGTTCCTGTAATACACCCGGGATTTTTCCTCTGACTTGTCATTGTCCTCTGAGCAGGCAAGGCAAGGCAAGGCAAGGCAAGGCAAGGCAAGGCAAACCATTGTGACGTTCTGCAGCGATCAGGTTGCCTTTTAGCTGCTAGTATTCTGCATTTGGGCTGATGACATGTCTATTTTGAATGGTTTGATTGGTGTAATGTTGGGTGTGAAATTGCAGCTTGTCTGAAGGAGCAGGAGGTGAGCTTTGGAAGTGTCTGTCGGTGCTTGTGCTAAAAAAAAGTTGACACGATTATATCTGATTAAAGAGTCTGGGTGTAACCAGGAGCCACATCTGCCCCGGGGCATAGGCTTTATGCGCTTGTATTGTTGTTTCTAGGAGACTGAGCTCCAGGGTTATATTAAGCAATGCTAAAACTAGTACAATAATAGAAATAAAAGAAATACAATAATAACACACACATGAGTAGGGATGTGACAATATATCGGTGTATCGCGATACATTCTCCCGCGATTCGATTATCAATATGCATTTGCCAAGTGAAAAAATATGTTTTTCTATTTTTATTTTTTTTTTACAATTTTTTTTTTACAATTGGTATCAATCTCAATATATGGCTACATTACACATCTCCATTCCATTTATCATGAAATAAAGTGTATTTTTTCTTTTATTTATGCCATAAATTGGCATATTGTATATATCTGACCAATATATCGATAATCATCATATCTTGATAAAATCGTTATCGTGAAATCGTGAAAATATCGTTATTGTGAGCTTTGTATCGTGTATCGTATCGTATCGTGAGGTACGATGATTGAGCGGAGTGAACGGATGGCTATGGCCAGGCTAGGACCAATATAATGTGTGAATTTATTTAGCTTAAAAAAACTGCTTACGAAGAGAAGTTTCTTATAGGTCATGTTTGATATACATGACTATAAAGATTGGTTTAATATGGATTGATTATATTAATAGTGTGACGTTCAGAAATGTCGTAGTATTTGCATTATACAAACTATACTGAGGTTTAGTTAATGAAATGAAACAAGTGTAGAGTAGCCCTACGATGTGCCATGTAACCTGATCCCAGTGCGGGAAAACAATGTAACGTGTGCTTTTGTTTCTTTCAGAGCTGAATGACACCATCAGTGACAACAATGACACCGTCGGGCAGATCGTCCACTACATTATGAAAAACGAAGGTAATTCATAGTATTCACAAAGTATGTTTGATTTCCGCAGTATCTATAGTGTCAGGGCAAACAGGCAGGAATACTGTTTGTTGCATTTCGTAATAACATGATCACACAATCGGGGAAGGAAGTGTGTTGCTTGTGTGCGTAGGAAACAGCTTATGCATGAGATTTTTCCTGTATGTTTGGAACAAGGGCCTCGGTGACGCTCTTTTCTCAGAGAAATGTTTTGTTTCATTGTTCTGTAGTTTAGAGCTAAGTTCACATCAGGACAGGAAACACTGCCCTCTACAGGTCACTAGGCACATCTGCAGCACTGTCATTTAGGATAATGTGCCATCTGATGAGGAGGAAAAAGTACATAAGTACAAAGAATAGCTACTGGTGTAAAAAAAATCTCTGGAAAATGTAAAAGTATTTAAATATTTCCCTTTCCTTAGTAAAAGTATGAGCTTTTGTACATAAGTGGCCAATAACAGGGCAAGCAGGGTTTGCCAATTATTCTCTTCAAATAGGATATAGACCTATTTTAAATTTTAGGTGGCTAAATGTAAAAAACACCTTTTTATTTAGCAAACATGAAGATTTTACACTGTTTTCTTTGTGTTTGTGGTTATTTTGTTAAGAGCAAATGATCACTAATAATTATGAATGAGAACAAAATAATTTTATTTAACACACCCTGGTAGCACATAAGTTACAAACCTTCATTGAGTATTGACTCCTGATTTATTTGAAGAAGTAACAGACCAGTTTGATGTTAATGGCTGAAAAGGGCCCGGGGGCCGCATATAAATGTGAATTGGTCGCACTTTGCCCAGGTGTGTTCTAAAGAATGTTTTTAAAATAAATATCCAGATTTAAAATAGTTGAAGCAGAATTATGACATCATTATATTTTACCCAAATTTAGTGTGACAGTAGTAATATAAACAACATTATTTTACTGATTCAATGCAATGGAACATATTTTTTATTCCTATTGCCAACATTGGATTTTATTCTTGTTTGGAATTGTTTGAGGATTTTTAATTCATACATTGTCTTTAAGGAAGAAGCCTACATAATTAGTTTAGAAAGTCAGCAGCTCTGAGTCAGACACGAAGGGGAGACTGCTTATATAATAACAACTTCTTATGACCTAAAAATGGCTCCTGGATCCTGTGGTGCGGCTGGAATGAGAAGATCATACAGTAATAGGTCATCAAACTGTACAACACCATTCACCTCTGAGTCACCGCAGAGACTGACGCATCCGGGTTCTGTCTGTGTAGGAAAAATACTGTCTTCCCGTAAGAGCGGGTGTTAGTGTGCAAGCAAGGCCACATCACATTCTAGATTTAAATATGCATAAGAGAAAACAAGAAAGGACCCACAAACAGAACTGCAAAATAATGTTTAATAAATGCTGTATTGTAGAAAGAGCCAAGCTTAAAAACGGAAACCAGAGACTAAACATGGGGGGAAAACAATGGACTGGCAATATGAGGTCAGGAGCACAAGGTCTAAATACTCACAGGGAGACGCAGGGTAATACATCCAGGTGGGGCAAATCAACAGGACAGACAGGAAGCAAAACTCAAACGGCAAGAGACTGTTCAACATCTGTGCAGAGTATGGGCTGGAAACCCCCAGGTCTAAGCAGGAAACTCCTCCAAAGGTGGTGGAGAATGAGCGTACAAAAATCCTGTGGGACTTCCAGATAGAGACTGACAAGATGGTAATGGCGAACCAACTTGACATCATGGTGGTAGACAAATTGCAGAAGAAAGCCGTGGTGGTGCCATCAGGGAATAAAAAGAAGAAAAGCTTGAGAAATAACAAGCGCTTAGAGAGGAGCTGGAGAGGGCCTGGAAGGTAAAGGTGACTGTAGTGCTCGTGGAGATTGGTGCACTCTGAGAAGTGAGTGGTTACAGCAGATCCCTGGAACAACCTCGGAAATCTCAGTCCAGAAATGTGCATTGTTAGGAACAGCAAAGATCTCAGAGAACTGCGCATAACCCTCAGCACCCGAGCTAAGAGAGGGATAACCACTTGCGGAGGGTGAGAACATAATTTATACAGATTTAAAACCAGGTCAAAACAATATCAACACAAAGTCCACACCATGACAAACACTGTTAGCCCAAATAATACCTTGCATTGCTAATCCAATCTATTCAAATGTATCTATAAAGCACATATTATGAAGTAAATGTTACCAACCAAACCAAAATGAGCTAATTCTTATTCACTTTATATCAGAAAGTGTGTCTTGCTCTTGTTTCCTCCACGGCTGAGCTGTTGCGTGCTGCTGTAGTCATTTTCCCGTTTGCACGACTGGGATATGTTCTTGTGATGTGCCTTTAATTGCATTAGACATAATCAGCGGCTCCATCTTTGAATACGCGCTGCTCTTTTGAAGTCACTGAAGCGTTTGCTGCTTAATTTCCACAATACTTTTATCTCCTTGCTTTCTCCCGCTCCCCTCTCCAGTGCGTCTGAATAACGGGTTCTTCTTCTGTTCTAGCCAACTCCGACGCCCTCAAAGCCATGATTCATGAAAACAGCATCGACTCCGATGGGTGAGTTTGGTTCTAAACAATCGACCAATCAGCTGACACACGTCCTGTTTTAGATTTTGTCAAACCTTGGTTATTGACTAGTTCATCTCATCGGTAACTTGGGGAAAAAAGTAGTATTTTTGTGTTGTTCCTGATCAGAGGTATTTTTACTTCAGCACTGAAGTAGTTTCAATGTTTCTTTATCTTTTACGGAATATTTTTACTTTTACTCCTCACTTTTGAATTTGAATATTTGTTCTTTCCACTCCATTTTGAGACCTGAACCAGTGGGAAACTCAAATCTCTAGGAGTGGTCATTGTGGTTAGCCATGCTTCGAAGTGAATTATTTCAGTGATTAGCCATGGTTCTACGTGAATTAATTATTTGTGGTTAGCCGTGCTTCTAAAGTAATACATTAACTGTTGTTAGCCATGCTTCTAAGTGAATTCATGCATAGTAGTTAGAGCGAGGAACTAGTTGGATGGATTTTTTTATTTCATATTTCCGTTGTTATATTGTTGACATAAATAAACAGACACACATAAACAACACAGCGTCTTGCTTCTGTCATCACCAGTGTGCAGAGAATGGAAACTACTGGTCCAACAAAATTATAAAGCGGTTTGTATGACCTTGGTCTGTGAAATGCGCTACATAAATAAATATTACTTACCTTCCCCTGTTCCTGATGAATGTCGACTTGATTCTACGGTCTGTATATTTACCACCAATACTATTTGAAGTGCACTGTCTGTATTCACCACCAGAGGGCAGCATAGGTCCCCACAACAGTCTGAGTATGTCAGACCCATGGTCAGAGCATCTCTGATTGAACACAGTAAGAAATGATCGGACAAGGCAATCAGGCCGCATTCTACCTCTGATGCGCGTCCAGATTGGCAGCCTCTGATTGGGGGCAGGCAGCTGGGGACCCTTCCCAGAATGCCACAGTTGCCATATTGCAGCAGAGAGGCGTTATTTTAGAATATCTTGCTCTTTGCTGGCATCTTCTCTGAAAGAATCCCAAGAAAGATTTGGCAGATGGTGATAAAAACTTCAATTCCGTCTGTTCTCTGTGCAAGTTTTTATGTTGTCACTATATTTAGAGAAGTAAAACAACGACTTCTAAAACTCGACTCTTTTTATGTACTTTGTGTTCGTTACAAAGCAGTATGGAAGGCAATCAGACTTGACCTACCTTCTGTTAGTTTTGAAATCGCTGAAATGTGTCCTGTTATTTGCATACTAAAGCTGGGTTACCCAACTCTAAGACAACACATAATTAACCATGTAGCATAATACTAGTTCCTTACTTTTACTTACTTTGGTTTTCACATTCATGTACTGTATGAATTTATACTTTAGATCAGATTTTTCAGAGACAAACGTGAAAAAGAGTAGACCAGGATTGCTCAGCCAATCAGCTCTCAGCCCAAAGCATGAAACAGTGGATAGTAGAGTTCTTGCCAGTGCACAAAATTATCTTTTTCTTGTTACTTTTACAAGACTCTTTCTATTATATTATTTCTGAAAAAAATCAAACAATCTCTTTTACCGGACGATATATTGATGCATATGGACATATCGCTATAAACGATTAAATTGAAAGTTTCTGCCATTGGTGCATTAACTATGACAACACTATTTCCATAACATTAACATGGGTCATAAGGAGAAACAAGTACAAAAAACGTACTTACATGTGAAAGCCAGATCTTGTCAGACTCCTGAAACTAAGCTGTGAGGATCTGGTTAGTATTGTGATGGGAGACCTCTCTGAATACCAGCTGGCACCTGGATTGGTGCTTCCATTGATTAGTGAAAAATATATCTTTTCAGTATTTTCTGTGGCAAGTTTAGTGCGATTTTTTTTTTTTTCATCAAATAACCTGTGCTCACACTGATAAGAGCTGTGGTCATGGACAGGTAGATGTCCGGACAGTAGCTTTTTTCGCTCCTTCTGCCAACTTCCTCATCTCAGCGCGTTTGTTCAGCGAGCTCGAGCCATAGATAGAGCCGCAGAGATGTTCCCTTTGTGACAAAGAGGATGAGTAAAAATAAAAGTGTCACCGCTGCCAGGGAAAAGGTATTCGGCTCCGGGGGGAAATCGGCTCAAATCTGCAATCGCACACATTTTACCACGCTCGCTTGCTTTCATCTGTCTGCTGCTTCAGGTGCCTGTCCAAATCTACCTTTTATTTGCAAGAAAGTCCTGTGGAAAAGTCTATATCTGTGAGTTTGGAAAGGACACCAGCCAAGACAAAAACACTCAACTCTTTAGTGAAGGTTTCTATGAGCGCTTTAGTTTGGGCTATAATCCTTGCAATGTCATGCTGTAATTATGGATTATCGTCAGCGAATCTGTATCTACGCCTGCTAGAGTCTGTTATATACTGTAGTTGCGCTCAGTGCGAAATAATCTATTCCGTTTTTATGTTCATTTTAGGTTGAATTGTTTGGCTCCTTCCGATCGTCACTGGGCAGCGCGCCAGTGAATCACTTAGAGATAGTGCAATCGAGGGTCTATTTGAGGGGCTAATTTATGGGATACTCTGAAGGGAGTGAGACACGGGAGATCATACTCATGGGGCATAGTAACTGTAGTAGTCCAGTTAGATATTGACCAAGCTGGATCCTCCCTCTTCCATTCTTCGCAGTCTCTCCCAATACTCTTGCAGGTTTTTATATAATTATTATTACTTGAATGTTTTCACTCATTAAAACTAATATGTTAGGGAACAATATAAAACCCCTACCACAAAAAAACAAGCAAACATACAGTAGCTCCTGTCACTCTGGAACCAGCAGGACTCCCATGAAATCTCAGTGGGAGATTACTTACTTATGTATGTAAGTTAGTGAGTAATCTTTATTTATATAGCGCGTTTCACAGACCAGAGTCACAAATTGCGGTTTTCAATTGTGGGCATTTGTCTCCCACTGCACACAGAGATGGGCACGGGGCCAGTACAGGAGGCATATGCCAGACCTATTGTACATGTTTTTAGTGGTAGGGGAAACCGGAGCACCAAGAGGAAACCTACGCAGACACGGGGAGAACATGCAAACTCAGCTCAGAAAGGCCCTGTTCCGACCGGGAGTCAAACTCAGGAAATTCTTGCTGAGAACCGAGAGTGCTGTCCACTCAGCCACCGTGCCGCCAAAAATGAATTGAAACATTGTCAGAGAAGAAACCTGTCTCACATTTTCAGGAAGAATGTTCCAAGTTACAGCCCTATTTTTAGTCCTGACTTTGGGTTCTTTTTGGCATTATCCTGTTACGGGCGTGCTTTGGTGCAAGACATTTCCTTTTTTTCTGATTCTTTGGTCAATACAAGAGAATAATTTCCTACAGAAAGACCAGATTCATATCCATAGATTGACTTTTACTGAAGGACAGGGTTTTGGCTGACATTATTTCAACGCTTTGGAAGTCTTCTGTATCTGATAGTTTATTGTGGTATTTCTTACATCACCCAGAATGCCATGTTCTTCTCACTTGCTAGTTCAAGTCCCTAAACTCTGACTGTGTCATCGGTGGAGCCATGCTAGCCTGGCATTAGCCATCCGTTCACTCCGTTCAATATTCATTTCCCTGCATGTAACGTCTGGGTCTGGTCCCTGTGTTTGCGATTACATCGGTAGAATTCCATCCGACCAATCAACGAGCGCTTGAGGCGGGTGTTGTAGTTAGATGTCAGTGACGTCAAGAGTTTGCGCCGAATGGGCAGGTTGTAGTTTGCCAATGGCGAAAAATGCGATAGTAAAGTAATCCGTTCTGGTTCTGTCAAGAAATTGAAGCCGGAGCAAGAGGAATGTTTAGCAAATGTAATTGCTGGCAAAGATTGTGGCGCAACTCCTCACGGGCTCCGTTAGCGACAAAGGAGATGCCTAGGCTAAATGCTAAATGCTAACGGCTCAATCGGGCACATTACATACTCAGATCCAATCCTTTCAATCTGCAAAAGGAGTTAACGCCACCCACCTGTTAACAGAGCTCAATGGAGCACCTCCAGACTTTAGTACGAAATGTAATTTGTACTATGGTGTGGTATGACCAGGCTAGAGCTATGCTAATCTAGTTCACATTGAAAATCACTCAACAAATATATGAATGAAACCTGATTTGACACGTGTATTATCCCAGCGTGTACTAATGAAACACATTTCCTAAGGAGTTAAATATATACAAGGCGCCGGTGGCTCTCGTCCAATAAGACACGACGTCCACAGACGCTTTTTAAATGAATCTTACACGCTGACAATGTGTCCAATCACACCTACATTACTTTAGCGATCACACGTCCATTACTGCCTGCTCACTCAGAAAATTGCTCCCATTATGGCTCAAGACATTATAATTCAACTCGATTGTTCTCCGGTAATTATTTTTGTCTGTTGAAAAATGAATTATGAAAGTATGTTTTGCTGGGATGGGCTCAGATAAACTCAAAGCTGAAGCATTTGTTCGGCTTATACTCTCTCCTTCAAAGTAAGATGTTTTTTGAGCAGAATGTGCAAAAGGTCTCGCTGCTCAAAACTCCGAAGAATCGACAAGCGAGAAATAGAGTTTTTGTAAGGCTTGAAGCTGCTGACCTATCCCACTTTTTCTTTCTTCCTCGTCCAATTATTCTGGAGTTTTGGCACACTTACTGAATAATGTTCTTGTGCTGATGATAAATTGGCACATTGTTGCTGTGTGCTCCTTCTGAACTCTATTCTCTCCCCCAGATTCTCAAACATACTTGTAGTTCAAAGGCACTAGAGAAACTGCAAAAATAATAATTAGTGAGTGCGTTTTACAAAGCACTAGTGAAGACTGGATCCCTTGGCTGGTCCTATTAAATTTGATTGGAGGATGTAAACTTCTGCCTATTCTTTTGAAATGTTTAGAATTTTTTTTTTTTTTTTAGATCAAATGTATTGCCCCGAGCTAAAAAAAAAAAACAACAACAATCTGAACTGAGCTTAACTCCTTGTGAAAATACACTTTGTTTGGTAAATCTGAATCTGAACTGTTTTTTCTACAGCGTATTCACTGGTATATAACCGGATCCTATTGAGACAAGGCCAGCATACTGTATGAGCACAGGGAAAAACGTAATGCCATAAGGAGAAATAAAAGAGGGCCCAAAATACAGAACTTCAAAAAACAATGGATTTTCTAAATTGTAATACAAACCAAAATCCAGGGAAAACACAAAAAGTTACCAAACAGGGATCTAGGACAAGGACTAAAACAGACGTAGCTGTGACTAACGAGACACGGGTGATACACATGAGGGCGGGGCACCAGGAAACAGGAAGTAGAACTAAAGAAGACTTACTCATTCATTATTGTCAATGCACATTTTAAAATCATAAAAAAAAATGTGGAGACATTTTTGACATTTGCTTTTGTGTATACAGAATTTCGAAAGACATATTTTCACATTATATATTCACATTTTTACAGAGTTCTACTTTTTTGTTTTTTGTTAGCACACCAAACCATGGTCTCTTGAAATGACTGGCGTGGAAAGATTTTTTATTTTTTTGGCCTTTGTTGTAAATCTCTCCAAAAATAATAATAACAAATAATAATAATAATAAACACAGATTGTCAGATATCTCCACATTTATATTGTAGAATGAACATTTATTTTTGTATTATCTTGTGTGTTAAAACATAATTGAAGAAATATTTTTTATCATTTTAAAGTGTGGGTAACGCTTTATATTAAGGTGTGCTTGTTAAGTATTAATAAGGTATTAATAGACATTAGCATTATAGATTGCTTATATGTACTTATAAACATATTAATAAGCTGCTCATTTCACTATTCTCTAAATGATGTTGTTCTAGTTATATGCTTTTAAGCATTTAATAAGTAATTAGTAAAATACATTTATATGTTTATAAATATATGAATAAGCTGCCTATTAAACTATTATCAATACCATGTTAATAGGCCACTAACAATATGCCTATAAAGATATGAATACGCTGCTTATTAATAGGTAATAGTGGTAATAGGCCACTAAAATATGCGTTAATAAACTGCTTATTACACTATTTTGCAGAACCCTAATCTAAAGCGAGGAGCATTTGTATTAATGCAGAAAAAAACACAACATTGATCTAGGATGTTTTTATTTATTCAAACAGCAACAATGAAAAAAAAAATCAAAATGAAGTTTTTTCGCCAAAAGTTTGTTAGTAACTTCAGGAGCCATGATGAACCCACTCATGCTCCGACCTGCTCTGTTCATGAATTTGGCTTTGGCAAAACAGTGAATCAGCTGACTTCACGAGCCTGAGAGATTAGCGGAACTCGCCTATTTTTGGGCATCGTCTGGTCCTCCCGGTTCTGTGCAGTGGACGAGCTCCCATGATGCTTTGCGGCAAATACGCGTGTGTGGCTGTCATGCACGTGCACAGAGGGGCCGTGCTCTGACCAATCAGAGCTGCTGATCAGAGCGAGAGTTAGAGCAGGAGTTAGAGCGGGAGCCAGACGAGTAGAGTTTGTGGCAGTAAAATGTGGATTTGAAGAAAACTGAAGGATTTAAGAAGAAAAAAGTTCAGGATGACAAGGGACACTAAAATCCCAACAAAATCCGACCTTTATGAAAGCTGTAGGTTCTCTGTCAGGTTCTCTGTCAGCTGAGGTCGAGCTGTTTTAGTTTACATTGAGTTCTATGGGGACAATTTCTGGGTAGCTCACGTGAATTTAGTTTGCAGTACCACGAGAATCCCCCGAGCTACAAGCTAGTAATACCCTATCCAGTTATTATAATAGATCCATGTATACAACGCACCTGTGGCACAACCATGGAACTATAATAATAACTGGATAGTGTATTACTAGCTTACAGCTGTCCCACCCATGGACACAGGGGGCGCTGTGGTACTGCAGACTAAATTCACAAGGGCTACCCAGAAAAAGTCCCATAGAACTCAATGTAAATTAAAACAGCTCGACCTCAGCTGACAGAGAACCTGATAGAGAACCCACAGCTTTCATAAAGTTCGGATTTTCTGGGGATTTTAGTGTCCCTTGTCACCCTGAACTTTTTTTCTTCTTAAATCCTTCAGTTTTCTTTAAAGTGGTTCTCACCCCCGCTCCTCGGAGCTTACGTCACTCACATTTCCTGTTCAAATCTTCCTCTAAATGGGCGTGGCCTGGAGGACTATAGGGGGCGTGAACGAGACTGGGCCGTTTATATAGCTCTGGGCGGGGGGCTGCTGACGTCAGGTCTCAGGCGCCAGATTCAAAATTCAAATGTAGTAATACAGGTCGCCAGCAGATGGCGCCTCACAGATGGTTTTAGGCAGAAAGTTTAACTTTCAACTAATTTGCACCAAAGTGACAAAGTTATGACCAGGATATGTAGACAACACTATTGGACACTCATTTATACCGTTTATAAGCAAAAAAAAGTGGATTTGAGGGTGAGTTGTCCTTTAAATCCACATTTTACTGCCACAAACTCTACTCGTCTGGCTCCCGCTCTAACTCCTGCTCTAACTCTCGCTCTGATCAGCAGCTCTGATTGGTCAGAGCTGCCCCTCTGTGCACGTGCATGACAGCCACGCACGCGTATTTGCCGCAAAGCATCATGGGAGCTCGTCCACTGCACAGAACCGGGAGGACCAGACGATGCCCAAAAATAGGCGAGTTCCGCTAATCTCTCAGGCTCGTGAAGTCAGCTGATTCACTGTTTTGCCAAAGCCAAATTCATGAACAGAGCAGGTCGGAGCATGAGTGGGTTCATCATGGCTCCTGAAGTCACTAACAAACTTTTGGCACAAACTTCATTTTGATTTTTTTTTTCATTGTTGCTGTTTGAATAAATAAAAACATCCTAGATCAATGTTGTGTTTTTTTCTGCATTAATACAAATGCTCCTCGCTTTAGATTAGGGTTCTGCAAAATAGTGTAATAAGCAGTTTATTAACGCATATTTTAGTGGCCTATTACCACTATTACCTATTAATAAGCAGCGTATTCATATCTTTATAGGCATATTGTTAGTGGCCTATTAACATGGTATTGATAATAGTTTAATAGGCAGCTTATTCATATATTTATAAACATATAAATGTATTTTACTAATTACTTATTAAATGCTTAAAAGCATATAACTAGAACAACATCATTTAGAGAATAGTGAAATGAGCAGCTTATTAATATGTTTATAAGTACATATAAGTAATCTATAAGCATGATGCTATTGTCTATTAATACCTTATTAATACTTAACAAGCACACCTTAATATAAAGCGTTACCAAAGTGGGTATCTTCATCTATAGGAGCTATAGGCAAAGAACTAAGGAAGACATAGGGGTGACAAATTAGAAAATAAAACATGAAACGTTACACATATTCATTGTTTGCATTTTCTGTGTTTTCTCACCCAGCCCTCCCATGACTCCCACTTCCCCAACACCTCCGCTGACCCCTGTATCGCCCGGAGCGCCCCTGGGAGCTCCCAAACACACCTGCAGTCACCTCCACACTATCGGGGGCATGGGCGGGCACAAGAACATCTGCACACGCTGCAGCCAGAAGAAATGGCCGCTCATGAGGAAGCTGGAGCCGAGAAGAAGTTACTGCGCGGAGGTGACGGTGCTTGCTGTGGGGAGGTGAGTGGGAATGTTTAAAGTGGTTCTCACCCCCGCTCCTCGGAGCTTACGTCACTCACATTTCCTGTTCAAATCTTCCTCTAAATGGGCGTATCCTGGAGGACTAAAGGGGGCGTGAACGAGACTGGGCCGTTTACATTGCTCTGGGCGGGGGGCTGCTGACGTCAGGTCTTGCTTCAGACGTCAGGTCTTGCTGCCGCGCCAGTGTTGGCGCCAGATTCAAAATTCAAATGTAGTAATACAGGTCGCCAGCAGATGGCGCCTCACAGACGGTTTTAGGCAGAAAGTTTAACTTTCAACTAATTTGCACCAAAGTGACAAAATTATGACCAGGATATGTAGACAACACTATTGGACACTCATTTATACCGTTTATCAGCAAAAAAAGTGGATTTGAGGGTGAGTTGTCCTTTAACTAGAGAGATTTTGTGTCTAATAAACAGCTAAGAATCAATCAAATCTATCAACTTTTATTTGTAGTGTGCCTTTCCTGCACAAGGCAGCACAAAGCACCCCACAACCCATATCACATCAGCCTACATCTACATAAACATCAAGATCACACAAGTAAAGTTTTAAACCTTAAAACATTAAACTGAATTGACTTTACTGGAGTGCCTACATTTGAAACTACAAAATCAAAATAACTAGTTCCTTGCTCTCCGTTATTTTTTTTATTTTTTTTACGTTCAATTCAACTCAATTCAACTTTATTACAGACTCTAGGTCCAATTTTGTCATGGTTTAGGTTTATTTCCCGTTTTCACATGCATGTATTTAAGGCCTATTGATCAGCTCTTTTGGTGAAACGGGTAGAACCAGCCGTCATTTAGTTATCATGTAAAATATATGCTTTTATTTAGTACTTTTTTTGTCTGTATCCATTTTGGATGCTAAAAATAAAGTCGGCTGCACTTCCCTAAATGTAAATGGTCAGTTTATATCACTCTTTCCTACCTTTGCATGTATTTTAGGCCCATTGATCAGCTCTTTTGGTGAAACGGATAGAACCAGCCTTCATTCAGTTATCATGTAAAATATATGCATTTTTATTTATATGAAGACAGAAGATAAACCAAGAAATTCACTGATTGTCTGTATAGGTCTGTACTGGGGCGAGCTGGGTTCTGCTGGTTGCACATTGTAGTAAGCAGGAGAAATATTGCCTTGTTTATTAATTTATTCTCTCCTATATATAATGAGGAGCTGGTGTGAGGGCAAAAGTGTCTGAAAACACAGTCTAATGAGATTTCATGGCTGCGTTTGGCCTATGTTCGCTGCACAATGTGGAGACTTGCATCAGGATTGCACCATGAGCCTCCCCAGTCTCTGAGCCTCCCGCAGCCTGTCGCACACATTACACTGTTTGGAATTGATTATTTATCTTGAAGACCTCCACATGCTTTCTTTAGCTTATCTGTGTGCCCTGTGAGTCACTATTTGATGCTTCGGGCTGAGGGCTGATTGGCTAGGTGAGGGCGGTACTCTCTTTTTGTACTTTTTTTGTCTGAAAAGTTATCTAAAGATGTGACGGAGGCCAAAAATACATGCATGTGAAAACTAGTGATAGAATCAAATGGAGCTACTGAAAACACTTAATCGTTAAATCTTTGTTTTTAAAACTGAACTGAAAACAGTTCTTTTTAGCTGTGCATACAAGTGAATGATTTTATATTTGTTTTTATCTTTAATCTTTTTAATGCGCTATGACTATTTATGATTGTAATCCCTTGTGTGATTTGAATGTTTTACGGTTTTTAACTACTTGTGTGATTTTATATATCTTGTGCTCTTAATCTGTCTTTTTATGTTTACTTAAATTCTAATGTTTGATGATTTATGCATGATGTTATATGGGTTGTGAGGTGCTTTGCGTTGCCTTGTGTAGGAAAGGCGCTCTAATAAACGTTGATTGATGATTGATTGATTTGTGTTTTGAAAAGTTATTACCACATCTTTAACAGCTAGAATTAATAATGCTTTTATTTAGTACTTTTTGTTTTTGTCTGGATCCATTTTGGATGCTAAAAATCAAGTCGGCTGCACGTATTTCCCTAAATGTAAATGGTAAATGGTCAGTTTATATCACTCTTTTCAAGGCACTCACCAGTTCACACACTTACACACACACTCGCACACCAGTGTACGCAGACACTGAGGGTTCAGCGTCTTGCTCAAGGACACACGAGCTGTAATTATGCTTACAATACAAAAAGCCATCAAATTGACTGCTCTGAGATTGTCTGTCTAGTGTTAATCTACTTTCTTAGCTTTTCAATAACAAATAACAGACACACAACATTTATATCTTGAATAACATTGGTAATTTTTTTAACCCACAAACCTACACAGGTCAAAAAAAAAATACAGCAAAAATTATAATAATAATAATAAGGGAAAAAAAAACAAATACATTAAGAACAGTAGTTATTGTGTTAAAAGGCTCACTCACTTACTCTGACATATCCTGCAAATATGAACTGCGAATAGTCTGGGTTCATATTTGCAGCATTTGTCACAGCCCGTCATACTGTGTAGTTTAAAGAATAGAATCAATGCAGTTTGTCCATTATTTCGCATTGCAGCTGGACACCGCTGTCGACCTGGCGCCCCAGCTTGTGTAATGAGCTTTTCCTTGTGAGTAAAGAAATGATTTGGCAGTTCAGTGGAGCAGCAGCTGATTGGAATGCACAGGGACGCCTTTCATTTGTGCTTTCCCCGATGAGGAGAGCCAACACTGGGGGTCAGCGGAACACAGATACCACCGCGATCGGTTCATTTCATTAAACTTTTATCCACGTTTCTCTAGAGCATCGGCAGTCCGAGCGTGTCGGGGGCTTTCTCCCTCCGTACTATCCCCCACCAAGGCCTGAGGGATAATCAGTTGGTCTTACATTTAGTGTGCTGGGATAATTGGTTTTTCAAAAAGGGGTTGTTTTAAATGGAAGTTTGACACGTTTTGTTTAGACCTGTCCACGCTTTGACAGAAATGACAAATGGTTGCTTGTTATGAAGTAAAGTGGTGGATTCAATCATGTAGATAGTGTTTTCCCCTGTTGGGCTTTTGGGAGTTTTTTCATCTGGGGAAGGGTGTTCTAAGGACAGAAGAGGCTTTGAGACATCCATTTGCTTAACACCTGGATCCCCATAATCCTAGTCATAATGACTAGGACGTCATTTTGACTGCTCCCATTCAAACCAATGGAATTCTGGAAATCTCCTTTTACCTTTACTCACTTTTAATAAGTTCCGGTTTATATACCTGAAATACTGCCAAAACAGTTCATTGAAAAATGCAAACTGCTGCAAGTAAAGTGTGTTGCTATGGTATTTACAGTCGAAATGACTGCTCTGGGAGTTCTAGAGTTAAAGCTGGGGTGCCTACCTTTATAACTAACATAGTAAAACACATCAGAAATAGTCTTGTAAAAATAAAATGTTGTGAAGATGTCGGACCACAACATGCTGGCTCCGTCTTTATATTTTGTAAACTTGTCAGAAAGAGCCCTGTGAGTCTCTATTTGACTCTTTTGACTAAGAGATAATTGGCTGAGTGAGGTGGGTCCTCTCTTGTCACATTTCTATCTGATAAAGCTGGTCTAAAGCTGTGACAGAGGCCAACAATACATGTATGTGAAAAACTAGTGATAGGTCCAGGAACTAGTGACATGAATTTTATTACATAGTTACTATTACGTGGAAAATAACGTACCCCAGCTTTATTTATTGTAAACGGTGGTTAATCAGTTTGATCAATGGCTGCTCTAATTGCCTGATTATCTGTTCAAGACAACTCAAGTTGTTATTTAGTGCCACACAAAAAAATACATTGATTTGATTGATTGTCCTAAAATCATTATTTGATGTGTTTCTACAGTTAAAGTTTGTTCAAACAAGCTCTAAAGGCCAATATATTTTCAGCATTTTTAAAATGAGAAGTTTTCCTTTGCAAAGGCGGACACTCTTGGCAAAGTTAAAAGAGCCACTTCCAGCTAAATGCATTTGAAGCGGGACACATTCCCTTCAGACTTGGAAGCGAACACATGAAGGCACCAGACTTAATGAACCAAGTTTCCACAGAGCAGAAAGACACACAGTAGTTCCTAAACATCGTTTTGCTTTTATTTTGTTCTGGGACAGATTCCGAGTAACGAAAACGGTGTGCGATAAACCGGCGAGGAGAACGCTGCTCTTGCCTGAGACCACCCCCACCGTCCCCACAGAGGCGGAGGCCCGGAGCAGGAGCCCCTCAGAGTCCCAGCAGGTTTGTACAGATCACTATCGTATAAGTATCCACATATGCACACGTTGAAAAGCCATAAAATACAACTTTATTGATCTCACAATGGAGATTTGTACATGTTACATTTGGCCTCAATAAAATCACTCTGTGTATAAGAAATCAGGAAAAAGGGAAGATATAAGGGATCTCATGGACAACTAAAAAAGGGACATTGGCAGAACAACATTTGCAGTCCTAGTGCAGGTCGTCAATAATTGACTTGTTGTACAGACTGACAGTGGGGATGAAAGCTCTGTGGTAGCATTAGTTCTATATATAGATTTCTCTGCCAGTCACAATAAACATAATTTTTTCAATTTCCCCTGATACACACCTCTACGGCCAGCCAACCACAAACCAGATTAACAGCTGAAGCCAACCAACGACAAAAAAGGAGGCGGAAGTTTTTTCTGAAAAAAGTGTTTGGTTTTCACTGAACCTATGACATGAAATCTGGTCCATATCGTTTTACCCCAGATGGTTTTCATGTAAAGACTTGTGTTCAAATGATTCCTAGGAACCACTGCACTGGTATATTAACGCGGTCAGGCTGGTTTTGAGAGGACTTAGGGCTGCACAATTTTGGCAAAAGATGCATTTAAAAACATTGACCGCAATAATGAGGCTAGGTTTAATAATCGTATAATTTTTCACTCTTTCAAATTGTCATTTTCTGGAGTATGCCAACTGTAAAACATATCTTTTTAATATATATAATTATGACTCATATAAATGAATCTAAATGAATAAATGAATAGGTTAGTTTGTTCAAAACGACTACAGCAGTGCAGGGGAAGTCCTGGGGAAGGGTCAGGATGAGAGATGACGACCTCTACGAAACAATATGCAGTTCTATTCCGGTCGGAGAATTGGCTGCTCTCGTCCTGTTTATGAAAATTGTACAGTTAAGCCGCGTTATATGCAGCCTTTTCCTAAATCCCAAAATCCACAAATAATTAAAATGATTTTCACTTGGAACAGAGCTACTAGATAAAAAGTCCGGTGGGGATATTGCAGCCGCAGTTTGAATCCGCAAAATGCAGTCCTATTTTGAGGATTTTGGAAAGAAACTAACAAAGGAGATAAGGTTCATTTTAAGAGTAGAAAAATATATTCCATAAAGAATAGATTTAGTGGTTCAGCGGTAAAAGACTGATCAATACTGGAGTCGACTGTGCTTCCAGAAGTAACATTCACATACAGTAGAAAGTCCTCATATAGGAGTTTCACAAAATGCAAATAAAGGTTTATCTGATATTACAACAGAAGCTAATTAGCATTGTGCTAACTAAGTAATAGTTAGCACAATGCTAATTAGCTTCTAGACAACTACTGCTAGTTTTATTTCAGTTGGAGGTTAGGAGCCAATACAAGTCTATGGGAAAGAAGACATTTTTGCCAGAACTCTTTAAGAATAAAATGTCCAGTTCCCCGCATATGTATTTGCAAGTGATTCATAAACCCGCCATATAAATAATGTCTGAAAGTTTAGTCGACTGAAAAACATCACGCATTTGTTTTTGAATATCTTCACCTTTTATGCTATTTACTGACAATGAAGATGTAGAACTAAGACTAGAATTTGACTTGTGTAATATATATACAAATGGTTTATTTTAATGGTTTTATATAATAGATATAATGAAAAATAAATGATACATTATGTTTTTCTCTCTCTCTTTTAGCAGACAGACCAAACGGAAAAAGACAAATTATAATTCAGGTAATATGCAATATGTATCTCTAAAGAGGGTAGCAATTGTTTAACTTTAACTTTTACTTCACATTAAACTGTGCATGTAAAAATGCTCCTTTCATATTTCAACAATTCATCTCAGTAATATTATTTTATGTGTATATCATTATATTGGGGGCGACAGTAGCTCAGTTGGTAGAGCATCGGCCTTAAGGCCAGAAGGTCGTGGGTTCAATTCCCACCTCTGCACCTTCTCCACCGACTCCCACTGATGACTGCTGTCGTTGTGTCCTTGGGCAAGACACTTAACCCCACTTTGCCCAAAGCCCCCACTGAAAGATCAAGGCTATGCTCACACTCAGAGAGCAGCCGTCCTCCTGTGGACTCACCACCTGCAGAGGGTCAGTGAGGGGCTGGTGCTATGAGACTTGGGTGGCATCTCTGATTGCCACCCCCCTGACCCAGAAATGGATTAAAGGGTAGAAAATGGATGGATGGATGGATCATTATATTGTGTATGTTAATTTAATGTATAATAATTTCAATGTATTATTATTAACTAGTCATATTGGTTGTACCGTTTTGCAGCTCTCCCCGTGGACACTGGAAACCAAACCCTGTCCCCTCAGCGTGGGCGGAGTGTCCCAGGACAAACATGGCTCCAGGATGCGCTGATGAAAGCTCCCGAGAGACACGTTTATGTGACGCGAGGTGAAATGGTGCCTTAAAGATGGCGTCTGTTCTCCATAACACAGCCGCCATCTCAGCGCTCAGTGTCCTACATACAGTTTATACCAACAGCTCTTTGCATGGTTTTAAGAGCTTTAGATTGACATCAAGGAGACGGTGGAACCTCGGTGTGAACTTATTATTGATTTTATGTAATGTCGCGTGAGCTTTGACCTCCGTGGAAGTCGATGTCTTTTCACCATTTCATTTCAAAGTGATAGAAAACACGATAACAACTGACACGGTGCTTTGACCCACTGGAACAATCACATGTTTTAAGGGCTATCAAAGCCTCCTTTAGTTTACAAACATAACTAAGATTGTGTAAGGCTGCGTGGCTAATATTAGTGTTGCTGCTAAAAACAAGGACTTCAGTTATTCAGTATAATGCTTACGTCTAAAGACCCAAAGTAAAAGACAGACTGTAAGCCATAATCATCAACATTATAACAGTCTTGACACCATCTGCCGGTAATGAGTCTATAATCGTACAGTGGTTTCACATCTTAGATTGAATGACAGGAATGAATCTACAGATATCCTAATTTTCAGAGTTTCCCCTGGTTGCAGTCCTATAGATCACACACTCCCTTCTACTTATGTAAGAGAGATAACATGTTAAAGCCAGTGTAGAACAGCGTCGAAAGCACGTCTCACAAGAACGAACTGAGCTCTATAAATACATGTATCTGTACATCTGTAACTCTACCAGGTCTGATCTGAGAACTCTGCCAAAGCTAATTTACCTTAGAGCTGTGTGTCTTAATACAGTTTAATGGTTTTGTCGTCTCTTGTGTGGGAGGGGGGCGATGAAAGAGCATGTGTTTACACCGTCACCACGGAAACTACATATAAAATAGTGTTGGGCACTTTCTGCTCCACTACATGGATGTATCTCGCCTGCTGTCGTCGGGATCCCAGATACAGACGTGTAAATAAGGAAACGTTTTGTTATTTTGGAATATGTTAACAAAAGCTTTATATTTACAATTAACATAAATATGAGTTATGATATGAGTTATTTCTAAATTATTATTATAAATACATTTATTTTAGGTGTTAGGCTAGTGCTGATGTTGAACTCCTCCAGGCATTGGAATAGTATTTTAAAGATTTTTATTATATTATTTTGTTTTATCAGATTTCATTTAAAGGTACAGTATGTAATGATTTTAACTGCATCTACATTATTTATCCATCTCCCCAGTTCTGATTTTTATTCCAAAATCAATGGACATGAGGTTCACATATCTTATTTTCTTTTTACATTTCATCTTGTCCAATCAGAAAGAAGAATTAGCATCAATCAGGATTTATGGAATCCTCGTCCATATTTTATTGAATTTTATTTAAAACAATGAAAAAAAAAAGACATTTAAAATTTGCAGAATAGGGTTAGGGTAATTTAAAAAACGTAATAAATCACAATTATGCGACCTTTTATGCGGAAGATGAAAGTAAATATTTTATCGTTTTTGACCATGTGGCCCAGTGGCTCTTTGAGTGGTCACTACGGCACCTTTACTTTTGTTATTGGATCCGTTTGGAAGGTTTGCTCTGCTGAGGGACCCTCGCACCAGAAAACAAACAAAACTATTGATCCTGGAGGACTGTAGGTACATCAGTTACAGCCACTGGGTCCCTACAAGGCCAAATATACACTTTTTCACATAAAAAGTTGCAAACTGCCCCATTAACAAAACAAAAGAAAGTTCCAAATCCACCATGACCGGGTCTGAAGTATATCCGGTCATGGTGAGTTTTTGACATAGCTCCTTCTTGGTCGACCGATGCGTTTGTCGGGGATGTCTTCGCACTGGAAGCAAATATTTGAATTAAGAAATGAAAAGCCGTCTCTGCATACTGTTCCTTTAAACATGTTTCAAACACAAACGAAATATTTTAAAACTTTTGTGCTGTTCTCATTCATGTCTACCTCTGATGAAACGACCAAAGCACAAGAGCAAAAAATGCCTCATGTTTTGAGGTAGAATAGTTTTTTAAAAATTATTATTCTTATTTTGTGGTTTTTGTGAATGTAATTTGGCCTTTATTTAATACATTATAATGCTTTGATATTGTTTTATTTGTAAATAAAGAAGGCATTTAAACCATTGCATTTGTATTCTGTATTATTAGCAGTACATACACACATACACACACACACACACACATTCTCAGTACACACACTTGCATTCTCAGTACACATACACACGCATACATACACACGGTGCATACAGTAAACACACACATAAACGATACACATGGTAAACATACAAAGTACACATACACGGTAAACACACTCAAACTGGACACACACGATACACACACACACAAATTCATACCATAGACTACAAATTAAGAGCGGGGCCGGTATGTCCCCACTTGTACTACCCTCGAGCTAAAGCCGAATATGGCGACAGAAGGCTCCTGATTGGTCCGTTGTTTGGCGCCCAAATTCGAATTTTCAAAGACATCACATTATAAACACCAGGAATGCAGACGGCGCTAAACCATGGATTTTTAAAACATGCTGAGCTAGGTTAGCATTGTCCCTCTATATACAGTCTATGACACACACACACACACACATACACAGTCGTAATGTTATGGCTGATTGTGTTACCTCTGTGATCCATCTGGACAGCCTGATTTCTCTCTCTCCCTTGACCCTCTCCGTCTCTTCCTCCGCCGGTAATGAAAAGGACATTTTGTTTACGCTGATGTCCAGTCGCCTCCAGCTCTTCCTTATTATTGCCACATAATGAACACGGGATACAACATGGACACAACTGTTTTGCAGCGCTCTTAAAAACTCACACTTGCGTTGTTTTGTGTATTTGTTACAGTTGTGTGACTAAGCACGAGTCTGGCTGTCACTTGACTAAAAGCCGCAGGGAAGATTTGCCTAAACTGCTGCAAATGTGAGAACATTTCAAATGGAAACTTTTTTACACGGTTTACAGTCTGTCAGCATCATTTAAAGCTTATTTTTGTTTCATAATTGTATTGCTTTATGCTTTATATGTATGTTTTTTTATTTTAAAGCTGGCAGAATAGTATATTTCAATGTGTTACTTTTATCTGTGCAGCACTTTGGAAACGTGTTTCATATAATGTCCTGGGTAAATGAATTGGATTGGATCATTTCTGTCTTAGCATGTTCACTCCATGTTAAAGTTATTGCCTTGAATATTCCACACTCTACTGCAGCATGTCCTGGAAAAAGGAGAAATCTACAGACTGCGACCGCGCTCTGTAGAATATGTATAAGTATTCTTGGGAGTTGACCTGATATAAGATTAATGACAGGAACTGGAAGTCACAATCACAGACTTAGAATTCAATTACACTGGGTAACAAAAAAATATATTTTGAAAATTGTCCAGGGTTTTCCAGCTGAATTAGACTAATTTTGATGCTCTGATTCTGAAAATGACCTTGGTTTTGCTCAATCAGGTCAGGATTTTTTGCTACAGAAATATTTTTTAAAATCGATTTTGCGTAAAAAACTACTTTCTACGGATCATCAGCAGAGAAACCCTTGACGTTTTTTCCGTTTTCCTCAAGAAATAAAAGTCAACGTATCCAAAGTCATTCAGTTTTTATTTACTCCATCAAATTTGATTATCAGAATTCATAATAACGTAGACGTAATCCGTAACACTATGGCTGTATCTCAAAAAGTTGACCTGATAGAGCAAAATGCATGTGATATTCGGACTCAGAACACCAAAATTAGTCTAAATCAGTTGAGAAACCCCTGACCATTTTTTGGCTGTCAACTTGTGTAATAAAACGACTTTATGCCGATCAAAACAAAGCAGGATAAACAAATGAATTAGTAACCATGGCGATTTCAATCTACTAAGATAAATATGGATCTGCTTAGAGCTGGATGGTTGCTGTGTATCATCCATTAGTGAAGTTATCATAGCGATTATTGTAACCGATCTAACTGTGGACCAATGGTGCAGCTTAAGGCAAGATTATTTGTTTAGCACAGTATACACAATCCTTTGCTTGTTTTTAGTTAAACAGAACTTTTTTTTATCTGCATTTGAACATTGTCAGAGTAGAAGCCGGTCTCACATTTTCAGGAAGATGTTTGAGATAACAGGAAATATGCATCACCACATTTACAGATGATCTGGGACATTTATGGACATTTATAGACTCTCAAATCTTTTGTTATTCATTTATTCATATTTAAATTCTAATCTGCTGTTGGTAAATCAATAACTATAAGTCCCCCGTGAAGACGACTGTTATTATTTTGGGTGATTCCAGATTAAAGTGGACATATTGTGTTTTGAAATAATTCATTTTTACATCTAAATCATTCATTTGTGGCCTATATAAAGCGTAACTGCAATGCCTTGGTCTGAGTCTCATTATTTGTAGCTCCACGGGCCTTTCTTCTACACCTGTTCTGAGGTGCGTCTGAGAGCAACCTGTTTTGGTGCTGTCTCTTTAAATGCAAATGAGGCGCTTTTGACCACCCCCCCCATCCAGGTGACACAGGTTCAACTCCACCCCGAGCGGCCGTTTTTGTAGTTTCTAAGCACAGATACAATTATCTCATAGAAACTTCTCATTACATCGCAAACGTGAAGCAGGCCTTCCTCATTGACTGAAAGCAAATGTTAAGTTTCATTCTTAGTCCAGTCTTAATATCGACTCTTCTCTTTTTAGCTTTGGGATCCATGCGCACAGTCAAGGCAAGGAAAGGCAAGTTTATTTATATAGCACAATTCATACACAAGGCAACTCAAAGTGCTGAACAAGAAAGCATTAAAATCATAAATAATCACAGAACATTAAAAAGAAAGATAAAAATATAAAATCCCTCAGTTGTATGCACAGCTAAACAGAACTGTCTTTAACCTGGCTTTAAATATTGTCAGAGAGGAGGCCTGTCTCACATCTTCAGGAAGACTGTTCCAGATTTTAGCAGCATGAATCTGAAAAGCAGCCTCCCC